TTTAGAGTTTAGGAATTAGGGTTTAGGGTTTAGGGTTGAGGGACTCGGGTTTAGGGTTTCGGGTTTAGGGTTTAGGGGTCGCAACGCAAGAGGGTGGGCAGCAACATGCTGTACATAATCAGCGGCTTCAACCGGAAGCCCACCCCCTGAATTCTGCTTGAAAGTATGCTCTAAGCCCTAAACCCTGAACCCCAAACTTAAACCCCTAAACCCTAAGCCCTAAGCCCTAAGCCCTAAACCCTAAAACGTGAACCTTAAACCCTAAACCCTAAACCCTAAAGGTAGCCTTCGAAGGCACGTCGCAGAAGCTTTTCGACCTCCACCGCATCGCCTGGCAGTGCCCAAGACAAGTAAAACCCCCAAGCCCTACACCAGCTGCATCCGTAGCAAGGTTTAGAGTTTAGGGTTTAGGGTTTAGGTTTTCAGTGTTTAGGGCCTAGCAGGCTTTAGGGTTCAATGTCAAGAGGAAAATGTCAATTGATCCCCAAACCCTCCACTCTGTCAAAATCCGGGCTTGATTCGTCGTGCAATGAGTAAACGGACTGTCGATCGAGACTTTTGGGTTGAAGTTTCGTAGATCTTGGGATTAGCCATTGAGGGTTAGGGTTTAATAAGGGTTTAGGGTTCAGGGTTCAGGGTTTAGGGTTTGGGTTTAAGGTTTAGGGTTTAGCCACCTTAAACTTCTTAAGCCTCAAACCCCTTGGGAGTAAGCAATGCACTTCGGGTTGAAGGTTTAAGGTGTATTATAGGGGGCTCCGTTGGCTTGTCTCGGGTTTAGGGTTTAGGGTTTGGGGTTTACGGTTCAGGGTTTATGGGCTTATGGGTTTTTGGTTTAGGGCTTAGCGCTTAAGAGGCGTACGGGACTTTCAGGGTTGCGGGGGAGGTTTATCTTCACTCCCCAACAATGAACCGCAAAACGCATGCTGAGTGAAAAAGGATGCGTAGTGAAGGAACCGAACCAGCAATTGGTGCAAATTGATGCATGTGCACGCAACAGCACGTTTTTCAACCTCACACTCACGTTGGCACTCAAACTCATCCGTCCCGACACCCGTGCTCGCCATCACCATGTGCACCGCGAGCACTCACAAGTCACGGCCCTAAACCCTAAACCGTAAACCCTAAACCCTTTAAACCCTAAACCCTAAACCCTGTACTATAAACCCTAAACGGCAATTAAACTGCAATTACGCTTTTCTTCAATCGCCCTCGCCATCGCCATCTGCAAATGGGCATGTGCGCTCCCACAAGCACCAGTGCCCTCGCCCTTACCCCGCCAACGCTGGCACTTGCAACCTCCTTCAAACTCAGACAGAACAGCGCACTCGAGTTCACACACGTGATCATGCTCTTACCTACCAATTGCTTCAAGGACCCGAAAAAAGAAAAACATTCCTTATTAAGAGAAATAAAAGGACTATTATTTTTCTTTTGGGGTTCTTAAGCAAACAGTAGTTACGCGCCATCACCATGAACCTGACACTCTGCGCAGGCGAACAGTTCACCCTCAAATTTCACACGCTCCGTTTCACACTGACACCGGGCTCACGCTCACCTTCAATGCAGTCCACCGCGCCTTATGAGTTCTGGGTGGATGGCCTCACGCTTTCACTCGCGCCCTCATCGCCCTCAAGATTTCTTTGATTTTCCTTGTGTTGTTGCTGCGTGCGGGCGTGAATGCGAGGTTCCAAATGAAGCTACAGGTGAGTGTGAGACAGATTGCGTGAGCACGCGCGTCGGTCCTGTGAAGTCATGTGAAAGAATGCGTGTGAACGAGCGTCAGTGTCAAAACGATGGTGATGCCCGCAACAAAATGTTTTTGCTTCTTCTTGACATATATACGCGGGATCGACAAAGAAATGTACGTAACAAAATGGCGGTTTCGATTCCCATAACATGATTAAAGTATAAAGCTCACGCAACCCACAAACATCCATAAGGGTCCCTGGGCCCTGAACCCTAGACCTTTAGGCGGGCCTATGTCAAAAACAAAACTGCCATTTTGTTGTGGAAAGTTCGGTGTCCTTCGAGCCCAGGTCAAGAAGACCAAACGCCGTTTATGTTACGGGCATGCTTTGCAAAAGTGCCGTTTTGTTGCAGAGCGTATGTCACGACGAACAGCGCCGTTTTGTTACGGAGGTTCCGTGTCTTTGAACCTACCTCAAAAACAAAAATGAAATTTTGCTACGGGCACATTTTTCAAAAACACAATTCTGTTGTGGACATTGCCGTGTCCGTCGAGACTACGTCACGACGAAACAACGCCACGTTGTTCAGGGCATTTCTGTGTCCATCGAGCCTATTTCGAACTGAAAAAGGGTCATTTTGATGCCTGCATGTTTTGCAATTAAAGCCCCGCTTTGTTACGGATATTTCATGATATTTCTCTGTCCATCAGGTCTACGTCACAAAGAAAAAACGCCATTTTGCTACGGGCACATGTTCAAAACGACACAATTTTGTTGTGGACCTTAGGGCCTACGTCAAGCAGAAACAGCGCCACTTTGTTACGGGCATTCCTGTGTCCATCGAGCCTATATCAAGCTGAAAAAGGGCAATTTTGATGCCTGCGTGTTTGCAAAAGCGCCATTTTGTTGCGGAGATTTCTCTGTCCATCAAGTCCACGTCGCAAAGCACAAGCGCCATTTTGCCACGGGTCATGTTTTCAAAACGACACTTTTTTGCTATGGACATTGCCGTGTCCATGGAGCCTATGTCACGACGAAACAGCGCCACCTTGTTACGGGCACTTCTGTGTCCATCGAGCCTATGTCAAAGAGAACAAGCGCCATTTTGCCGCCTGCATGTTTTGCAAAAGCGCCATTTTGTTACGGAGATTTCTCTGTCCATCAAGTCCACGTCGCAAAGCACAAGCGCCATTTTGCCACGGGTCATGTTTTCAAAACGACACTTTTTTGCTATGGACATTGCCGTGTCCATGGAGCCTACGTCACGACGAAAAAGCGCCACCTTGTTACGGGCACTTCTGTGTCCATCGAGCCTATGTCAAAGAGAACAAGCGCCATTTTGCCGCCTGCATGTTTTGCAAAAGCGCCATTTTGTTACGGAGATTTCTCTGTCCATCAAGTCCACGTCGCAAAGCACAAGCGCCATTTTGCCACGGGTCATGTTTTCAAAACGACACTTTTTTGCTATGGACATTGCCGTGTCCATGGAGCCTACGTCACGACGAAACAGCGCCACTTTGTTACGGGCACTTCTGTGTCCATCGAGCCTATGTCAAAGAGAACAAGCGCCATTTTGCCGCCTGCATGTTTTGCAAAAGCGCCATTTTGTTACGGAGATTTCTCTGTCCATCAAGTCCACGTCGCAAAGCACAAGCGCCATTTTGCCACGGGTCATGTTTTCAAAACGACACATTTTGCTATGGACATTGCCGTGTCGATGGAGCCTACGTCACGACGAAACAGCGCCACTTTGTTACGGGCACTTTTGTGTCCATCGAGCCTATGTCAAAGAGAACAAGCGCCATTTTGCCGCCTGCATGTTTTGCAAAAGCGCCATTTTGTTACGGAGATTTCTCTGTCCATCACAAAACGACACACATTTTTGCCATGGAAATTGCCGTGTCCATGGAGCCAACGTCACGACGAAACAGCGCCACTTTGTTACAGGCATTTCTGTGTCCATCGAGCCTATTTCAGGAAGACAAAACCCAATGCTGCGGGCACGTTTTGCAAAAGGCATCCAACCCCAGGGCCCTAACCTCTATGTAGCCTATGCCCCAAACGATAGCCCAAAACCGGCGACAAACCCTGGGCCCTGAACCCTAAAAACCCTAAGCCTCGAACCCTAAACCCTAGGCCCTGACATCTAAACCCTAGGCTCTGAACCTTAAACCCTGGGTCCTGAACCCCAAGGCCCTGACCGATTAACCAGAAATGGAAAGACACAAGAGAGGTGCAAGGTCTTCGAAGGTTGAAGGGCTTCGGATTCTAAGCGTAGGGTTTAGGGTTTAGGGTTTAGGGTTTAGGGTTTAGGGTTTAGGGTTTAGGGTTTAGGGTTTAGGGTTTAGGGTTTAGGGTTTAGGGTTTAGGTTTAGGGTTTAGGGTTTAGGGTTTAGGGTTTAGGGTTTAGGGTTTAGGGTTTAGGGTTTAGGGTTTAGGGTTTAGGGTTTAGGGTTTAGGGTTTAGGGTTTAGGGTTTAGGGTTTAGGTTTGAGGGTGTAGGGTTTTAAGGTGCAAGGTTGGTGGTTTGGGGTCTAAGGATTAATTAAGGGTGTAGGGTTTCAAGGTTCAGGGATTAAAGTTTAGTGTTTTGAAGCTTAGGGTTTACGGCTTAAGGTTTAGGCCTTCGGGTGTCATTAAGGTTGAAGGGTTAAAGGCGTGAGTTTTAGGGTCTTTAGGGTCGAAGGCCTATAAAGCACACAGGCAGTCACAAAAAACCGTCGCCTGAGTCGAGGAGGAGCGTCGCCAAGGCGTCTACGGAGTTCAGCCTGGCCGCTGTCGTCACCACAACTACAGGGATTGATTGGCCGGGTTTAGGGTTTAGGGTGTAGGGTTTAGGGTTTAGGGTTCAGGGTTGGGAGTTTTCATGTTGGTTTGTAACGCCACCTACAACCCATCAAGGTGAATAATCATAGTTCCGGCCTCAAGACTCACATGAGCCATCCAACTTCAAGCCCTCTACAAGATAAAGTTTACACGGCTTCGGGCTTTCAGGGCAGGCAGCGAAACCCTGGCGTGATTTTTTCTCCTGCGCTGGTCCACGGCTCGCAGCAAAAGAATATTATACATACAGGCACAGGTGCAGACAATGACGTGGAGTCGGTGTTGAAAGCGCGGATAGCACAGGCTTCGGTGTGTGGATCCAAAGATATACAATCTTGAACAAGCCTGCGTCACATACATGCACCCAAGAAGCATTGGTGTCAGCCACGTCACTGTTAGCTTCGCTTACAGACTGAGAAAGCACAAGAGACAACAGCAAGATGGACGAACCGCGCTGGTAGCTCACTGCGTCATTGCGCTCATCGCTTCTTCACGTGCTCGAAGAGCTGGGAGTACAGACGTGGGAACATACGTATCCTTCATCACCTTGCTGACGTACACTTGTTTCATCACGGCGATGCTCCATCATCCTGGCGATCTCGAAATGGCCCATGGACAATGCTACGCCGATTGGTGAGCTGCGCCACTGTCCATGTCCAAATTCTTGCCGCGGGTCCGCCCGGGCACTGAGAAGGGCGTCGACAATTCCCGCGTGGCGTCTCTGACTCTGACAAGCTGCTGCCAACGGAGGCGGGCTGTCCATGTCACAGCGGGCGCGTGCTTCCAGTAAGAGACGCACGATCTTCAGCTGGCCCACGCGGACGGCCTTGGTGACTCGATCTCATTGATGCTATAAGCTGCGCCAATGCGTGAGAATTCACATTGTTTGCAAATATGACAGCGCAAACACATGCAGTAAGGGCTTCATCATCTCATAACCGCCTCAACAGCAGGTTTTTTCAACGGCTTGCCGAGCATACCATGTTGTCACCATGTTTTCAACACAAATATGATTTCGCGAGTTATTGTGAGAACGTAGATAAGTACACGTATATGTATATATATGTACACACACACGTCTGTTGGTGCTGGCGAGCCTGTGCATGCGCGTGTGCGTTTGTTACTGTTGGTGTTGGCGTTGCCGTTGGCGCTGGCGTGGGTGTGGTTGTGTGTGCGTGTTGTGTGTGTGTGTTGTGTGTGTGTGGCATGTGTGTTGTGTGTGTGTTGTGTGCGTTGTGTGTGTGTGTTGTGTGTGTGTTGTGCGTGTTGCGTGTGTTGTGTGTGTTCTGCGTGTTGAGAGTGTTGTGTGTGCGTTGTGTGTGTGTGTGTTGTGTGCGCTGTGTGTGTGTGTGTGTTCTGTGTGTTCTGTGCGTGCGTGCGTGCGTGCGTGCGTGCGTGCGTGCGTGCGTGCGTGCGTGCGTGCGTGCGTGGGTGTGTGTGTGTGTGTGTGTGTGTGCGTCTGTTGTGTGTTGTGCGTGTGTTGTGTGTCTGTGTGTTTTGTGTGTGTGTGTCTGTTGTGTGTCTTGTGTGTGTGTATGTGTGTGTTTGTGCTGTGTGTGTGCGTGTGTGTGTGTGTGTTGTGTGCGTTGTGTGTGTGTGTGTTGAGTGTGTGTGTGTGTTGTGTGTGTGGTGTGTGTTCGCGTGTTGTGTGTGTGGTGCGTGTGTGTGTGTTGTGTTATGTGTGTGTGTTGTGTGTGTGTGTGTTGTGTGTTGTGTGTGTATTGTGCGCGTGTGTTGTGCGCATGTGGCGTGTGTGTGTGTGTGTGTGTGCTGTGTGTGTTGTGACGTGTGTGTGTGTTGTTTGTGTGTGCGTGTGCGTGTGTGTGTGTTGAGTGTGTGAGGGTGTGTGTGTGTGTGTGTGTGTGTTTGTGTGTGTGTGTGTGTTTGTGTGTGTGTGTGTGTGTTTGTGTGTTTGTGTGTTTGTGTGTTTGTGCGTGTGTGTGTTTGTGTGCGTGTGTGTGTTTGAGTGTGTGTGTGTGTGTGTGCGTGTGTGTGTTTGCGTGTGTTTGCGCGTGTTTTTGAGTGTGTGTGTGTGTGTGTGTGCGTGTGTGTGTGTGTGTGTGTGTGCGTGTGTGTGCGTGTGTGTTTGTGTGTTTGTGTGTTTGTGTGTTTGTGTGTGTTTGTGTGTTTGTGTGTTTGCGTGTTTATGTGTTTGTGTGTTTGTGTGTTTGTGTGTTTGTGTGTTTGTGTGTTTGTGTGTTTGTGCAATGTACATGTATATGTGAATCTGTATATGCGTGCATGTGTGTGTGTGTTGTGTGTGTGAATGTGCACGCGTCTGTGCATGCCGCGGCGGGCTGGGCAGGCAAGAAAAAGAAGAACCCAACCGGAAAAAATCAAAGCTCTCCCACAAAATGTTTCTGAATAGCAAGCAAGATGCCACTAAGAGCGGAGAGGCGAAGATGTCGTGAGGCCAGTTGTAGTGGCACTGCCGCGGGTTGGCCCGCGCCGATAGCAGCGCACGTGCCACGTCCTCGAAGCCACTGAAACAGGCCTCGCCTAACGCGGTCTTTTCCATCCCGCTCTGATCGAACTCCTGGTTTGCGTCGGCCCTTGCTGTCAGGAGTGCCTGTACGATTTCCAAATCATTGCGGGAGACCGCGGTGCTGAGGGGCGTCTCGTGCAACCACCCACTCTCCTCCTGCTCTCCGAACCCCTGGGAGGGGTCTGCATGAGCCTCCAACAGCAAACGAACCATCCCCACGTGACCTGACCGAACCGCCATGCCAAGCGGAGTTGTGAAATCACTGTTGTTTGCGCAACTAAGGTTCGGATCCTGTGGTCTGGAGAGCAGCTCCTCAACCTGGAACAGAAGGCCGCGTGCGGCTGCAGCAACGAGCGCCTCTATCTGTTGCTGGGTCGTTTCCGCATAGGATTGGCAGATCAAAGTCAACTCCACATCTCCGTGCAAGATCTCCTGAGTGTGCTGATTCTACGGCGTCACTATGGGGTTGGAGGTTGAGTGCTTAAGGCGTTCTCGCTTAACGGATTGGGGTTGAGGGGGGTTTGCATTCACACACATCTCAAAACATGGTACTCGAAACAGCCCAAGGTGCACTATCGTCCAGAGAGCCGCTGAGGGAGGTGGAGTTTGACCAGCCTGTCAGGGTTTACGGCGCCCACAAGATCACCTGAGCCCGAAAACTCTCCTATCAGGTCGCTGCTTATGAGGGCTTACGGTCTGTATAAGTGCTTATAGCCCTAAACCCTAAACCCTAAACCCTAAACCCTAACCCTAAACCCTAAACCCTAAACCCAAGGGTTCAAGAATCTACGCCTTACCATCAACACCCTGGCGCCTCTCAAGTGGAGAAGTCGCTGCTGGAAGCGCGGATGGCCACACAAGGGCTCCAGTCGTGACTTCAGCTCCCGCACGGAGAGCCTTTGGTTCAGGTTGTGGGGCTGTTTAGTGTTTACGTGTGTATGTAAACATGCATGCATATATACATATGTACGTATATATATATGTATATGTATATACATATTGCTCTCTCTCTCTCTCTCTCTCTGTTGTATTCTGTAGGCTGAGGACGTAGTTGAGGTTTTCAGGGCTCTGGGTGTCCTAGAGGGCCGGCCCAAAACACAAAAATCTTGGTTCAGTTCTTGCCAGGGGGCCTCTCCTCAGTTCCAAGAGCATCCAATGGCAGCTCCTCTCCGGAAGCCTTCCACACGCGCAGCATCTCCAGCTGAATGGGAGGGGCCGCGTCAGACACAAGACCATCTGCGCCAAAATGGCCATCCAAGAAGAGAGCAATCGCCGGCTGATCATGATGGCAACTGCAAGAGACATGTTCGAAGACTCCGGTACATGTTGAACTACTTGTGAAGGCCCTTCCAGCCTACCATCAATGCTACACCCTGATCCCCCCTACAAACTACAAGGAACCCGGATGAATCGAAATCCCTGAGCCCTAAGCCCTAAAGTGCAATGAACACGCCCAACCCAACCCCAACCTCCGCTCCCCCTCCCACCCCCTCCCCCAGCCCAGAAATGCCCTAAACCCTAAACCCTAAACCCTAAACCCTAAACCCTAAACCCAAGGAAACATATCTCAACTGAACTGCCACCCTCGCAAGTGGCGCCAAGCTGAGAGGCGCGCGTCTGAATGTGACTGGACCCCAGTCTGGCCTGCGAAGGAATAGGGTTGAGGGTATAGGGTTCAGGTTTAGGTTTTGGGTTGAGGGTTTATGGTGTAGGAGTGGTGTAGGGTTTAGGGTTGAGGGTTCAGGGAAAAATTTAGGGCTTGGGGCTTAGGACAACATGATTGACTGAGAAGGTATATGCTCTTCGCAAAGACCAGAAAGATATTGACCGTTGCAGGCATCATGGCGGTTTGGGAAAATTAGCCAATAGCGCAGTCGGCTACGTAGGCTTCCGTGCACTTAGCGTGTCGCCACGACTTCCATCGAGTGCCTCACTACGCTATCACTACGGCAGTGCTTCGGATTGATATCTTGCCTGACTCTTTCATGCACTCCAAGTTTCGATCACACTTCCTTCTATTTCTGAAACGCCCCCAAGCTAAGCTTGGGATGCAAGGATGATTCTTGGACAGGGTTGGGTTGTTGTAACGCGGCGCGGGTCCAGGCTAGACGATTGTTTGTCAAGCGCTACCCTCAAAACTATCTTTGGCTCAACTCTGATATGAGGGATATGGCATGATCACGCGGCGAAACCCAACCTAAACCCCACACTTCACTGCAAACATGCCCTGAACAACAACCCGAAACTTCTTACTCCCCCGGCTCCCCCGACGCAGTTGATGTGGTCGGGCGTGATTGGGCTTAGGGTCAGGCCGGTTTGAGGGTGTGGTGTCACCCCGCAACCAAAGGAAAGGCTTGTTCGGTCCGAGACACAGCCGCCGAAAAACACACCCAACCCTTTAACTCTGAGCCCTAAAACTTAAACCCCTAAACCCTAAACCCTAAACCCTAAACCCTAAACCCTAAACCCTAAACCTCCACCCGCCTCCTGTAGTAATCCCTGTAAGCCAGGTACCTTGGAGCCCTAAAATCGCTTAGTCCTACAGCAACAACACATCACCAACCAAAGGGCTTATCCCTGAGGGTCCATGCACCTATGTGGTATACACTTGGGCCCTGGAGCTGCTAAATTGTAACCCCTGTAGGGTTTAGGGTTTAGGGTTTAGGGTTTAGGGTTTAGGGTTTAGGGTTTAGGGTTTGGGGTTTATACAATATACAGGTACATGGACCCTTAGGGTCTGGGGGCTTTTGCCGCAAGCGCCTCGCGACCAGCGAGCACGCGGCGATACAGCTTCTCTGCCTCCGCCGAGTCGCCCACCTCCTGGAGTTCAGAAGATCCTAAACCCTAAACCCTAAACCCCAAACCCCTAAATTCTAAACCCCTAAGCCCTAAACCCTAAACCCTAAACCCTAAACCCCTAAGATCCCTAAGCCCTAAACCTTAAGATCCCAAGTCCCTACGCCGTAGGCCCCAGGAACCCCACACTGAGAGGCTTTATAGTAGGTCTTCCTGGCTCCTAAACCCTAGACTACGAGAATTCACTGCGGGATGTCAGGCTGGCAGGTCGAAGATAGTTAGGGTTTAGGGTTTAGGGTTTAGGGTTTAGGGTTTAGGGTTTAGGGTTTAGGGTTTAGGGTTTAGGGTTTAGGGTTTAGGGTTTAGGGTTTAGGGTTTAGGGGTTAGGGTTTAGGATTTAGGGGTTAGGGCTTAGGGTTTAGGCTTTAGGGTTTAGGGTTTAGGGGTTAGGGTTTAGGGGGGGAGACAGCTGCTGCGGGGCTTCGAAGCTCAAGACATTCGGGGATTAGGGCTAAAGGCTACAGGGTGTTTTGCCCATCGGGGCTTTGTTTGGCTTAAGAGTGCCAGGGTCTTAGGGCTCAAGGGTTTGGGCTTTAGTGCTACGATGCTCAAATCCCCCCGAGCCCCTCAACCCCTTGTAAACTCTTGAGTCCTTACCCGTCCCCCACCCCGCCCAAAGAAAAACCAAACAAACTAAATAAAATATTAGGAAAAGGACCTCCCAACCCCCTTGCCGCGAGACAAGAGCACCTGCAAAAGCCCGGCGATCTCGTTCACGAGATCCAGTGTCTCCATGGACCTTTATACTGCCAGCGTTCCGGCTTTTGTGGGGCGGTGTAGGGATTTAGGCTTCAGCGTCGTAGTTAGCATCAAGGGGTTAGGGTTCCAGGGCAGCTCTCGCTTCAAACTCACCCAGGAATCAAAAGGGTCTAGGGTTTAGGGTTTAGGGCGACCCAAGAGTAACGATGCCCTTTTGGGTTTAAAGGGGCTTCCAGGGGAACCCACCCCCCAAGAAATTAAAAGGGAATGAGGGCCTACTCTGGGTCCTAGTATATCGACCATAACCGTTTTCAGTAACCATGTGCAATTTTTGTTTCAAGAAAGCTGCTTCAAATGAGCGATGACAGTGATCCCCCTTAGCCGCAGGGCTGTTGAGCATCCTAGCATAAGAAACGGCACCCTTGCTAGTCTTAAATGGAACCTGCCCGAAACCTTCACCACGAAACCCCAAATACACGCAGACTCTAACCCCCAAGTCAAAAGGGAACCTCCTGCGGTGGGGGCACCTGAACCCTAAACCCTAAACATAGAATAAGAACCCTAAACCCTAAACCCTAAACCCTAAACCCACTGCGGTTCCGAGAAACTCTGAAGTAGACTACCTGCTTGGGCCTATAGGTCTGAACCTTCAACGGGCCTGCAAGACGCCGAAGTCTGCCAGGGGGTTTTTGTGTCTAGGGTTTAAGGGCTTAGGGGTCCAGGGTTTGGGGCCAGGTGTTTAGGGTTTAGGGTTTAGGGTTTAGGGTTTAGGGATTAGGGTTTAGGGTTTAGGGTTTAGGGTTTAGAGTTTAGGGTTTAGGGGGGTTTAGGTTTGGGAGCTTAGGGCTGGCAGGATCCTTCCAGCGAGCATCGAAGTCTTTGAACCACCCACAGCACCGCAAGCCACAAGCCCTAAACCCTAAACCCTTAAACCCTAAACCCTAAACCCTAAACCCTAAACCCTAAACCCTAACCCTCAAACCCTAAAACCTCAACCCGGAAACTTAAGACCCTAAAGCCCTCAACTGTAAACCCAAAACCCTAAACTCTAAACCCAAAATACACCCTAAAACCCTAAACCCTCATAGATCCCACATAGATCCCACGAACCCCCCAATACCCTCAGCTCTCAGTCGCTGACGTCTCCCCGAGCTGCGCCTCTTGGCAAAGGCTTGGGCTCAGGAAACCCTAAACCTTAAACCCTAAACCCTAAATCAAAAACGCCCTAAACTCTGAAACATAAACCCTAACAGCCCTAAACCCTAAACGCCCTAAACCCTAAATCCTAAACCCTAAACGCCCTCTGAATCCTAAGCCCTAAACCCCCTAAACCCTAAATCCCAAACGCCCTAAACCCTGAACCCTAAACCCTAAATCCCCAACCCTAAACCCTAAACCCATAGCGTTAAATCCTGCACCCTATGCATCTTGAGCCCTAGACCCTGAATCTTAAACCCTGCACCCTATGAATCCTAAACCCTGTAGCCTAAACCATAAACCGCACCCCGGGATCCAGAATCAGCCTGAAGTCTAAAGCCTAGAAAGCATAACCGTCAACTATGAACCTCAGGGCCTTTTGGGTTTAGGGGTTTAGAGGTTTAGGGGTTTAGGGGCTAGGGTTCAGGGTTTAGGGATAAAGGTTTAGGGTTTAGGGTTTCAGGTTTAGTGCCCATCCATATCTATGCCTCTCGAAACAAGCCCCTTTTTCCGGTATGCCTGGCTCAATTGGCTCGAAGTGTTGAGGGTTTCGTGTTTTGGGGTTTAGGGTGTAGGGTTTGACCCTGATAACAGGAACTTAGGAGCATTGGTAGGGACCCCTGACCTCACCCAAGGGGTACCTCCAAACGCGCCCTACTACTCTTTGATCTCAGTTCATTGGGAGTCCTCCTTTGGGTGGGAGGTTCGGGGGAACCCTATGATTCATGAAGTTTAGGGCAGCCACACATGATAGCCCGCCCATCCTATCTGCACAATGGGCTTTCTACTGGTCGGCGAGATTTGGGCTCTTTGAGGAAGGGGTGGCCATCTACTCAGTAGCAACAAGCCCCAGGGGCTGAACGCCGTGAGCTTTCAGCGTCCTAAACCCTAAACCCTAAACCCTAAACCCTAAACCCTAAACCCTAAACCCTAGAGATATGAGCCCTGAGGTCGAGCTCAGGACAATGGATCTGCAAGCGGAACATATATAAGGCACGTAGCGGCCAAGCCAAAGTGGCTTTCAGATATGAATCCTATTTACAGGGTTTCGGTTTGGGGCTTTAGGGTTTAGGGACCCTTTCAGATATGAATCCTATTTAGGGTTTCGGTTTGGGGTTTTAGGGTTTAGGGACCCTAAACCTGAGCCCAGACCTGTTCACGCCCGCAGAAGGGCCTCGAAACCTTCCAGGGCGCGCCAGAAGAGATCCTTTCGGCGTAGAGTTTCCACTGCAAGGTCTAGAGTTTAAGGTTTAGGGTGAATTCCTTAAACCGTTGCCGCCGCGACTTGGTGTTTAGACTTACAGGATTTGGGTGTAGCTTAGACACATCATCAAGTGGTGGACCAACCTAAACCCTAAACCCTAAAACGGGAGGGCTCATGTGGAACTCGCGCGCTGATTCCCAAGGCCCTACACAGCACCCTCTGCCCTAACCACCATTGCAGGGTTGTGGTTCAATTCTCCAAAGTCAGTATGTCATTCTTGCAGCGGTCGCCTCTGACCTTTCGAAACCGATCGATTACAAGCACAAAAGAAACCTCAGAGAGCGTGTCAATAAAAGAGTTCGCTTAGTTTGTACGGGCCTTTTGGTCATGCGCTTCAAGCGCTCATGAAGTCATCTGGTGTGCTTCGTTCACAAACTTCATGCACTTCACCTTCGTTCCCAGTGTATGAAGAAGCCACAACTGCGCTACATGAATCATCTTCAGTTGAGAAGAGCCTAGCCGGGTCTGCCTTTACGCACATCCTTAACGCCAGTGACCCAGTGGCTCCAAATGGCGCAAGGCAGGAATTGCTTCAACACATAACCCCTAACCTTGAACCCCCACACCCCAAACCTTAGATCCGAAACCCTAAACCCTGAACCCTGAACCCTAAGCCCCAAACCCTAAACCCTAAAGCCTAAACCCTAAACCCTAAACCTTAAACCCTAGCTAAACTCGCTCCATCCTCTGACTCGCTGCGCCGCTTCTGAGCCCGAAGATGCCGCGCAAGATGCTGCACCTCGGCTTTTGAGGTCTGTTGCCCTGGGGAAGGGTTTAGGGTTTAGGGTTGAGGGTTTAGGGCTTAGGGTTTGGGGCTTCGGGTTCAGGGTTTAGGGTTTAGGGTTTACGGTTTAGGGTTTAGGGTTTAGGAACAGCAGAAGAAAAGAACCAGCATGCAAGGACCCAACAACGGCGCGGAGGCGCCGTCCGGAGGGTCTGCAGATGCGACTCGCCTAAGGTCTCCTCCCGGCCCTCCAGCACTTGGCGGAGCAGATCCTGCCCATGGCTGGGGTTTGGGGATTTCGGGGGGTTTAGGGATATCACTTTGTACTTAGGAGGTTTAGGGTTTAGGGAAATCACTTTATGCTAAGCCCCCAACCCACAGGACGGCTGCGTGTGTTGGTTTGGGGGTTTTAGGTTAAGGGGTTTTTGGTTCATAGGATTTAATCAAAGTGGGCCCAGCGTAGGGCCGGGTAATGGTATGCCACTTCACCCCCAAAGCCCGTAAACGGCTGAACCCAGGGACCGGACATTCGCTCTCCCTCGAGAACCGTGTTTGAAATTGAAGGGTTCAGGGTTTAGCATTTAGGGTTTTGGGTACTACTCCTGTGGGTTCGAATTTGCAAAGCAAAGACGAGGGAATTGCTGAGAAGACTGCGTCTCCTGGAGGGGCCCTGAACAGTAAAGCCTAAATCCTAAACCCTACACTCTACAATGAAAAGTAGGCCTTTGCGCGTTTTGAAGTTGGGGTTCTGCAAGTCCGACCCTAGACACCCTAAACCCCAAAACCTCTAAACCCTGAACCCTAATCCGGAGTGGAGTCGCTGCGGAAATGGGAGGGAGCCTTCGCGGGCGACTCTCGTGTTTAGGACTCGGGCTTTCGGCTTCTCATCTTGCTCTGGCTATAAACAAGACTGCTTCTTTGCGACTTTTAAAAGGCAGCCTCCCGACACACCAAGGCCTCTAGCGCTCTTCAAGTCAGAGCAACCCTGAACCTTAAACCCTAAACCCTAAACCCCAAACCCTAAACCCTTAGCCCGAAAGCCCGAAAGCCCCTAAACCCTAAACCCTAAACCCTTAGCCCTAAACCCTAAACCCAAAACCCTAAACCCTGAACCCTTGGCCCTAAACCGCAAGAACAGGCCCCTTCCGCGCAGTCCTCGGCCTCTTCGTGCTTGCCCTGGCTATCCAGGAGCGAAGCCTCGAGGGTGCTTGAGGGTTTGGGGTTTAGGGTTAGGGTTTAGGGTTTAGGGTTTAGGGTTTAGGGTTTAGGGTTTAGGGTTTAGGTTTTAGGGTTTAGGGTTTAGGGCTTGAGGGGTTTAGGGCTAAGGGTCTAGGGTTTATAGGGTTTAGGGGTTTAGGGCTACGGGTTTAGGGTTTAGGGTCTAGGGGTTCAGGGTTTAGGGTTAAGGGTGTTAGGGTACTAGATTTTTTTTTTTTTTTTTTGGGGGGGGGGGGGGGCGGACTTCGGTGCAGCCCCACCCTCCACCAACATGGGTTTAGGGTTTAGGGTTTAGGGTTTAGGATTTAGGGTTTAGGGGTTAGGGCCGCAAGAAGTTGCCAGGAAGAACATGTCACCCTAAACCCTGAACCCTCAACTCCAAGCCCTGAATCCCTACAAACCCTGATTCCTAAGGCAGGGGCCAGGGTTGTGGCCGTTGTGGCGATACTGGCACTGAAGCGGTCCAGCTTCTCATAGCCTGTGAGCCCAAGTTGAACCAAACAAGAGCAACTACTGCGGTTGAGGGTTTAAGGTTTAGAGTTTAGGGTTTCAGGTTCAGGGTTTAGTGGCTTAAGGTGTTGGTCTACGCCCTGAACCTGAAGGTCTACAGGGGGTGGGACCTCTGGGTTATTGAGCTCCCCACAGAAGCCATTGACAGACCGAGAAAATACTTGAAGTCCTAACTCGGTACGAATCGAACAGACGGCGGTCCCTAACCCTCAACCTGAAACCCGAAACCCTTAAGATGTGCGGCCTTATACTAACAGTCCTTCATAGGGATCATCATAGGGGGTACTGTCATCCCTTGTAAGGACTGTTAGGTTTTTACGGGGAACACCGCAGCCTAAACCCTTGAACAATGAACCCGAAACCAAGGGTCGAGTGTGGATGCAACCAAATCCCACCCTCAGGAAAAGGGCTGGGTTTAGGGTTTATGGCTTTGGGGGTTGATTAGGGTTCAGGGTTTAGGATTTACCCATCTTGCAGCACGCGCTGGAGGGAGAGCGGATGAAGGTGCAGGTTGAGGGCCCTTAGAGTGTTACCCCATACCCCAACCCCCACACCCAAAACCTCAAAGTTGGGACCCCGACCTTTGAAGGAAGCTCCAAGCGCTGAAGCCCCAAACCCTCAACCCCCAACCCTAAACCCTAAAACCTAAACCCTAAACCCTAAACCCTAAACCCTAAACCCGCTGAAAGGAGAAGACGTCTGTGTTGTGGGGCCTCTGGGGTTCTGCGGGGCCATGCAGCCTAAGCATAGCTCTGAAGTCCTTCAACCTCAAACCCTAAACCCTAAACCCTAAACCCTAAACCCTAAACCCTAACACCCCCTAAGCCCTGTCTGATGAGCCTTTTGGAACTTCAAGCCGCTAACCATGGACACCCTAACCCCCCCTGCACTTGAAGGTTCATGGTACTTATTAACCAATTATAACTGTACCTCTACCTGTACTGATAAGCAAATTAGGGCACTTAAGGGGCTTATAAGTGGGTTATAACAGTTATAGTTGGCTAATAAGTACCATGAGCTTCAAAGCATGGACCCAGTACCGACGGGAGCCTTCTAAGGCTTCGCGATAGAGGTCCTCTGCCTCTGCCTGAAAGGCTTGCAGTTTTTTGTGGTTTGGGGTTTTGGGGTTTCGGGGTTTGGGGTTTAGGGTTTAGGGTTTAAGGTTTAGGGTTTAGGCTCCAGGGCAGGGTTTAGGTTTTGGAGCTTGGGGTGTTGGCATCGCTTTCCTGCGTTGAGGGCACCTACAAAGGGGAACAACAAAAGACATCGACGTCTTCGCAGAAGGCCTCGGGAAACGACCCCCTCTATACTACCCCCCCAGGTTCCCCCCTCCCCCCCCACCCCAGATGACCTTAATTAGGCTTCATTATCCCGAAATCGCATTACCCAGAATCCTAATCCAGCTCATAGCCTTATAAACCTTAGAGCCACCTGAAACATTCAGCTGCAGGGCTCTCATCGGGTTCTACAACTCAAGGTCGTTCTGGGTTTGGGGGGACTACGGCGCCCTATCACTCAGAACCCTAAACCCAAAACCTTAAACCCTAAAAACTAAACCCTAAACCCTAAGTCCTTAAATAACAAAAAGCCGAAGGCTTAAACCATAAACCCTAAAAAACTAAACCCTAAGTCCTTAAAAAAAAGCCGAAGCCTTAAACCATAAACCCTAAAAGCTAAACCCTAAACCCTAAATCATTAAAACAAAAGACCGAAGCCTCAAACCTGAAACCCTTCAACCCGAAACCCTAAACCCTAAAAACTAAACCCTGAACCCTACAAAGCCTAAATTCTAAAAACCAGAAACTAACCGTAAACCCTAAGCCCTAAACCTTAAAAACAACGAAACCATAAACCTGAAACCCATGAACCCTAAACCCTAAGCCCTCGACCCTAAACCCTAAACCCTAACCCGTAACCCTAAACCCTAAGCCCGAAACCCTAAACCCTAAACTCCCCTAAGCCCACGGAAGGGGCAAGCGCCGACCAGGTGCCCATTCGCCCTGATCCCGCAGCACCGAAGCCAGCGCGCAGGCCTTTAGGGTTTAGGGTTTAGGGTTCGTACCAGGATGCGTTTGAGGGTTTAAGGTTTGAGGTTGTGGGGTGCTTTCGTTGTCAGGTTTAAGGTTTGGGGGTTTCGGGGTTTCGGGTTTACTCCCAGAAACAGTTGCCTGTATACCATGACGTTGAGAATATTTGTAAGCACCTGTTGACGGGCTTTGGGTCTTGCTTTTTGTTTGGGACGCGCCCTAAACCCGAAACCCTAAACACTAAATCCTTTCATAAACCCTAAGTCAGGAGGGAAGGCGCTCCCAGGGCGTGCAAGGCTGTAGAAGGTGCGCGTGTAGGCTTGTGATGGGCTTAAACTTACATACAGGGTGGGGCCCCCTAGTTGTTATAAGTAGAGTTATAAGGGCCCTAAATTGGGTTATAAGGACCCTCAGTTAGGTTATAAGTCCCTTAACTACAGTTAGTATAGTAAGGGGGCCCCACCCTGTAGGAGTTGGGGTGTAGGGCTTCCTGCAAAGCTCTAGAGGATGATGAAGCTGAGGGAAGTTGGGTTTTGTTGGGGTTAAGGTTTAGGGTTTAGGGTTTAGGGTTTAGGGTTTAGGGTTTAGGGTTTAGGGTTTAGGGTTTAGGGTTTAGGGTTTAGGGGTGTGAAGGCCTTCGAAAGATTGCAGCTTGAATTCCCAGACTGTACGCTTACAGTACTACGGTGGAGCTCGATCCCTCAACACCGTGCAGGGGTTTCGGGTTCTGCCTTTGTGGTCCAGTGCTTCTTAGGCCAGAAAAGGCTAGGTTCTGGATAAGGAGCTTACCATAGTAAGGTGCTTTGTTTAAGTTCCTTGACAAGTACCCAACAGGGCCCTACAGCCTGAAGTCCTATGCTTCGTGCCCAGCTGCGGTGTTCAGAGTCTCTGTGTGGTTTGGATCCAGCTTGCGCCGCTCCCCTGACAAGTCAAGGTAAAGAGGGTTTAGGGTTTAGGGTTTATAGGGTTTCGGGTTCAGGGTTATGGGTTAAGGGTTTGTTGTTGAGTAAGAATAGGGTTTCAAGGTTACGTCAAGAAGTGCTCAAGAAGTGCTCAATAAAGCACTCTAGAGGGATGGCAAGCCCTACAATACAAGGCTTTTGAAGCACAAGTCTTCTTAGGCCTTAATTAGAATAGGGTTTTGGGGGTTACTATAGTATAGCTATAAAGGGGTCATAAGGGTAGTATTCGCAAAAAGTCCGACAACTATAGCACAGTGGGGGGTGAGAACCACAGCCGTGCATCCTCATGGCCTATGGAGAAGCTTATCAGGAGTGTTGTTGCATGAAGCAGGTTCATACGCAACTTCGTTCATCTACAGCAGACTGCAGCCTAAACCCTAAACCCTAAACCCCATGCTCTCGCTTCGTTTGTATTGCTAAAGCTGCATCGGCGGGCGGCTTTGCCATCAACGACGCACGGGGGAGGAATAGGTGAAAGCTCAGACATGGCGTTGCCGTAGCAGCAGATTGGGTGGTAGTTTTACTAGTAATAATGACTAATTACTATTCAGGTCATAGGCAGTAATCTACTCACCCGCAAGAGTTCTTGATTTCGGCGTGTCGCACAGAAGTTGACGGAACCGGGCAACAGAGCAAGAGGCCGTAGCGGTCTAAGCAGGCCATCGGGCCACTGCTGAGAAGGAACAGGAGCCTCTCATGGGATGTAGGTGCTATTTAGGTATGCAGGGACTATAGAAGGGGTATATACATACATACATGCATGCATGCATACATACATACATAAATACTATATATAAAAAAAGATGTATTACATTTATTTGGTTGAGATCCCTTCTAGGGGCGCCTGCCCATATCTCTTGAATGAAGGTACCCTGCAAAATGAAGAGTCAGTGGATGAACACTTCTTACTCCCTAAGCCTCCCTGCAGGCCCCTTGCAGCCTTCAAGCCCCAAGGTAACTCCTGAGAACCTCCACACAACCTGTGTTGGTCCTGAAGGCCTCTAAACCCTAAGCCTTAGCTCCATAGACACAGACAAACACTCATGCTGTTGTACTCTGAAGTTCTCTCAATATCTATTGACTCTACCCTACCCTAACCTTAAGTCTACGTTCGGGTTGAGGTCTTCAAAGGGAAGAAGGGTAGTTGGGCTTCGGGCCGCGAAGGATTCAGGGCATTCAGCCGGGGAAGTTTCCGCTATGGTAGGCTTCATAGGAGGCGCAGAAGCTGTGCTTTCCCACCTGAAGCCATCCTTCCATGGGTGTCAAAATTATGGTCCCTTTTGGATCCCTAGAATAATACGGCACCTACTGTTTAGGGTACCCCAAAAGGGATCATAATTTTGACAACCACCCAAAAATCTATCGGCCTAGCTGGCTTTCGGGCTCAAGACAGAGGACTTCTGGCCTGAACCCTCCAGTCGTGCTGCTAAGGCAGTGCTAAGGGTTCATGTGGCCCTAGAGTAGATACTCATGCATCCAGAAAGAACAGTGGTGGTGGTACATGGAACTGGTTCCCTAAACCTAAACCCCTCAACCCTAAAAGCCCTAAACCCTAATCCTAAACCTGAAACCCCAAGAGGATTTGGGGGTAAGCGGCTGCTGGCCGTCTTTCCCAGCAAGTGCCCGGGGCAAGCGGGCAGTCAGCAAGTGGCCGGGCTTAGGGTTTCGGGTTCCGGTTTCGAGTCTCGGGTTTAGGGTGTAGGGTGCAGGGTGTAGGGTCTAGGGTTTAGGGTGTAGGTTTTAGGGCTTAGGGTGTAGGGGGTTTAGGGTTTCCCTAACATTCCATGGAACTCCTTATAAAGCTCCTCCCAAACCCTAAACCCAACTCAAAGTTCTCTAGGTCTCTAGGTATATACCTCCCACCCCATGATGGTTCGAGAAGGGTCCCTTTGGGGGCGTCCCTACATCAAGGGAGCTGTACTTTGTAGAGGACCCGAACAGGGACCCTAGTTTTCGGGAAGAAACCCGAATGAAACGGGGTTTGGGGTGTAGGGTTAAGTCCAGGCCCAGAACAGCTGAGTGGCGCAGGACGCGCCGGTGGAGCGTCTCCGCCTGGCCGAAGCGGCTTCCGGTTTAGGGTTTTCAAGGTTTAGGGTTTAGGGTTTAGGGTTTAGGGTTTAGGGCTTAGGGGTTTAGGGGCTCAGGGTCCAGCTTCCCGAGGGCAAGCCCACCATGGCTCTCTGCTACATGCTCCTCTTTCGCTGGATGGGAAATCAACCGGGATGCTAGGCCCTAAATCCCATAATCAACCCTATAAAATTGGCCTTTTTAAGGGGTTATAGGGTAGAATAGCCCGTCCTGGAAGCATACGCAAGCCACAGGCCCGAACGAGTTAGAGCCGCAACTCCATTTCAGCCGCGGAGCAAAAACAAATCGGCGCTTTGGGGAAGGAGGTGGTGCAGAAGCACGACATAGGGCAACCATCACCGGGTGGGTAAAGGTCACCCTGAATGAAAGCCTGAAACCTCTAGCAACCATCTGAGCCGCAAGTTAAACCCTCAACTGTAAGTCCAACTGTCATCCACTGCATGTCCCCCAAAGTTCAGAGGAGGTCTCAAGCGAAGGGTTACTCTGAAGCTCTAAGCCCCTAAGCCCTAAGCCCTGAGCCCTAAACCCTAAACCCTAAACCCTAAACCCTAAACTAACCTAAACCTTAAGCCCCACCAAACAGGGCTTAGGAACCCTTACCTATCAACCTTCTGACTTCCCTAGAATTCCCCCGACGCCACGAGCAACCTCCTGACGTCGCGTGGTTTTGGGGTTTAGGGTTTAGGGCTGGGATGTTCCCCCCCTATACTAACAGTCCTTAGTAGGGATTATAGTTCCCCCCCTTTAGAATCCCTATTACTGTAATGACAAGCAAGAATCTTCATGTTCATCATGCTCATGCAATCATGATTAACCATAGTCACTATACTATCGGCAACAACCAGAATAATCAAAACCATCATTTTCAGAAGCATGGTAGTGATAATACGAACGAGAACAAGAACAACTCATAATTATTATAACCATGTTCATCAAAATCATCACAACCCATCACAAAAAAAGAGATAGAAACCATCAAAAACATAACAACCATCAAAATAAAATCATTGTAATGACAACAAGGTTAACGACCAAAGCAATGGCACATTCCACAAACACAATGGACCAATGACAACTAATTATTTCTTACGATGCTCAGCTAGGCCTAGAATCCCAAGCCCTAAACCTACGTCCAGACCGGCCCAAACTCCAGAACATTCGCAACCAGGCTATCATTCGGGGGGGGACAGGTAGTAGAATCCCTATTTTGGAGTTCCTGGTTTTATACGCAGCGATGTATTTACGGTGCCCGCCCTCCCTAAGCAAGACCCTCAACCCTAAACCCCAAAGCCTAAACCCTACACCCTAAACCCTAAACCCTAAACCGCCCCAAGAAGTGAATGATGAAAGCCTCGGAGAGCTTGCCGCGCTCGTGGAGGAGTGTGCCAAGCTGGCTGAGGGAGGTCAAAGTGCTGTCCTGCATCCTGGGGATCTTCCGGGAGTTTAGGGTTTAGGGTTTAGGGTTTCGGGTTTAGGGTTTAGGGTTCTACGCCACGTGCTAACCCTAGACCATTTGGGGCTTAGGGGAATCTCTCAGACCTCAGACTCTTTCGTAGCTATATTAGCACTTATGTCTATGCCTGTCTTTATACACCGGGCTGCCCAGTAACCTAGGTGAGAAGGTGCTCGAGGTGGCTTGTAAGGGAACCTAAGCCCCCATATACGGGGCAATAACGGCACTACTGGGCATCCCAGTTTTTTTAACCCAAACTCTATACCAAAACCCTAAACCCCAAACCCTAAGCCCTAAACCCACAGTGTGCCGGGCGGCATGCGCTCTTGCAAGAGCTCCGCCTCATCAACCTTGTTCTGTGCCTGGAGGACCTTTGCCAACCTCACTCAGCCATGAAGCAGTGCGGTTTAGGTCTTAGGTCCTATAGGTCTTAGGTCTTAGGTCTTAGGTCTTAGGTCTTAGGTCTTAGGTCTTAGGTCTTAGGTCTTAGGTCTTAGGTCTTAAGTCTTAGGGCTTAGGTCCTAGGTCTTAGGTCTTAGGGCTTAGGGTTTAGGGTTCAAGTTTTCTAGGGCTTCGGGATGAGGATCTATCGGTTGCTTGGTGAAGAGTGGTCGTGAGAGCTGCTGTAGACACAAGTATGGCCAGGTTCTTGAGCGAGCCTGATTCTCAGCTCCAACCGTATAGACCCCTTGCCGTAGGAGTCCCAACATGTGGAACGCTCCGACAGCAGTGCTCCTCTGCTCCGAGTTGGGGCTTAGGGTTTAGGATTTGGGGTTTACGGGTTTTTGGGGGTGCAGGCCTTGGGGGCTCGGGGTTCCGAGGGGGCATTGCTTCATCAGCATGGGCTCTCTATCTCAAGCCCTGCCAAAAGTTCGAACTCATCAGACAATCAGATAAGTGCCTGAACATATCGAAGCAGGGTCAGGGACGTCGGTTGCTGTCTAGGAGTCTGGAAAATGGAGTTCTTGTTGCTCTTCACACAAAAATGCTCTCAGCAGAGGTTTCAGCAAGGCCGTGCATCATCCGTATCTTCGGGGAAGCCATATGCAGCAAAACTGTCGCCACTTCGGCCAAGTTGGCCCGAAAAACCCTCAGAAAATACTCCGCAGTAAGATCCTCTTCAACCCAAGAACCTGCAAAATATCCCCAGGCCAAGCGCCTCAACCCTGCGCCCTAAACCCCCAAACACCCTACACCCTGATCAACCTGGCCCCGAAGGGATGGCTGTAGAGGGTTTAGGTTTAGGGTTAGGTTTAGGTTTAGGTTGAGAGTTGAGGGTTTAGGTTTAGGTTGAAGGTTGAGGGTTTAGGGTTTCAAGGAATGGGGTTTAAGGTTTCGGGCTTAGTGGGTGCGATGGGTTATGCACTCAGCACCGTCGCTGCAGCAATCTCATTCTAAGAGCCCGAACCCTAAAAAACCTACATCCCTTACCAGCATCTGCAATTGGGATGTTCACCCTTATCCCAACAGTCCTCAGTAGGGATCATAGTACCCCCTATTCATAATCCCTCTTAAGGACTGTGTTGTATAAGGGGGGAAGATCCCAAGTCTGTAACGTCAAGGGAGCTTAGGGTGTAGGATCCCCGGTGCTGGTGCCAGGAGGCGTGTTGACATAGGTCAGGGTCTCGGGATGCACCTGGACCAAATCAAAAGGGTTCTTAAGGGAGCCCCCTACTACTCCCTAAGGCTCCCTAAGCTTCCCCTTAAGGTTCCCTAGGTACCTACCCCCCCCCCCCCCCCCCCGAAACCCCCCCCCCTTAAGAATCCTATAACAGAACCCCCCCCCCCCCCCCCCTGTAAAACCCAGAGCCCCTAAATCCTGAACACCCTCAAAGCCCTCAAAACCCTAAAACCCCCCAAAACCCCCAAAACCCCCAAAACCCCCAAAACCCCCAAAACCCTCAAAACCCTCAAAGCCCAAAAAGCCCTGAACGAAAGCCTGAAACTCCGAAAAACCCTGAACCCCAAATCGCCATCCATAAACCCCAAGCCCACACTCCACGTCCAAGCCTCAAGACTGGTGTCTAGGCTTTGGGGAGCTCCCATTGTAATTCCCCTTCGGGGTACTTCACTTTGGACGCGTTTATAATATTATAAGCATAGTCAGAAGCAAGGTACCCGGAAAGCAACTGCAACTCGTGGAGTCTAGATAAATATAAGAACGTTCCAAAGAGAAGCCCGGGGAAACCCTAAGTCCTGAACCTCCAAAAACTTGCGTCACACCCGCAGGCCATAAGTGGAAATATCTCCCAGCATCTACAGGTGAGAAGTGCTGACGCAACCATGCGACACCCGTGAGTCCTGAACCCCAGCTAAACTCTCAACCCCCAGGCCCCTACCTAAACCCCCAAACCCCTGAACCTCTAAACCCAAAATCCTGAACCTCGCAAGAACCCCCCAAACCCTTAAAGCTCTAAACCCAATAGCCTGAACCCCAGAAGAACCCCTAAACCCCTAAAGCTCTAAACTAATAAACCCAAAATCCTAAACCCCAGAAGAACCCCCAAGCCCCCACTCTAAACCCTGCACCCTAACCCCGAAACCCTAAACCCCACTACTCAGGGTGCTGTTGCTCCGAAAGCACGCGGCCTGGCCAAACTCCTTCTCCCCACCGAGCAGCGCCCGGCGCCCGAGATCCTCTGCCTTGGGCGTCTTCGGGTTATGGTGGAGTTTGGGGTTTAGGTTTAGGGTGTAGGGCTTAGGGTTTGGGGTTTAGGGTTTAGGATCCCTAAGCCCCAAGCCCTAAGCCCCAAACCCTAGACCCTAAACCCAATTGGTGTAATGTTTGGGGCAAGTCCTCAGGTGTAGCTCTGTGCGCCTCGGGGCGCCTCTATCTTCACCAGCCCAAACCCCCAGGCAGCCTAAATCGGCTTAGGGTTAAGGGTTTAGGGTTTAGGGTTACGGGTTTAGGGTTTAGGGTTTAGGGTTTAGGGTTTAGGGCCCTAACCTCCCCAAACCCACAAAAAAACACAATGCAAACTGCCAAAGACCATCGCCCCCTCAAGACCGCGAAGCCTCCACCAGCTTCGCCTGGGCCTGCAGGACGGAGGCAAGACCTGGGCCCGTGCGTGGAAGAGCTTGTGAAGGTTCATAAGGGTTTCAAGGGTTTATAGGGGTTGAGAAGGGTTTGTAAGGGTTCATAAGGGGTTATTCACAAAAGTTTACAAGGGTTTAGTAAGGGTTTAGAAGGTTTTAACTGTAAGGTTGTAGAAGGGCTTAGTCCCATGATGTTTAAGGATGGTTCTCAGGGCTTGCAAGGGCTCATGAGAGCTTGGAGGGTTTGTTGATGTAGGTCTGTAAGGGTGCTTGTACGGGCTGAGTGCCCTTACCCTATAGGGCCCTAAACCCTCAACCCTGAACCCTAAACCCTAAACCCTAAGCCCTAAACCCTGAACCCACTAAACCCTAAAGGTTGAGGCTTTGTACGACTTAACTGTTGAGGGTTGAGGGCTGTAATCGGTTGAGCTTGCGTTCTTGGGATGCACCATGCTAAACCTTGATGGTTTCTGCATAATTATAAGGGCTTAATTGTCAGGGTTGAGAAGTGCTCCTAAGGTTTATTTTGAAGTTCTGATTTCCATGTCTACCGAGGGCTTTGGGTTTAAGGTGGTGCTCCTAGCATTGGCCTGAGAGTTTTGAAGTTCACAAGGCAAACTGGTTCAGGACGACCTCCTGCATTGGAGTGTCTTGGGGGGATGGGTCAGGAACTGCAGGTTAGCTAGTGATGTCTTGTTTAGGGTTTAGGGCTTAGGGCTTAGGATTTCGGGTTTAGGTTTTAGGGTTTAGGGGATTTAGGGTTTAGGATTTAGGGCTTGGAGTTTAAGCTTAAGGGTTTAGCATTTAGGAATTTAGCTCGACAAAACAGCCAGCATTCGGCTGCCATGTGCTTACCTGGCCACCAGCAGCCTCCAAGCCTCATAAAAAAGGGGCCTTAAGTACTAGAATAAGGTTTTTGGGGGGTTCTTCTAGGTAATGTGATAGGGGCCGTAAGGGAATGGTATTAGTTAGTTATTCCGACCCCTATATTCTCTGATCCTCATGCCTCCACTCAAAACTGAACCCCTGAACCTCCCAAATACAGGGGGCCCGTTTCATTCGAATGGGCGGCTAGATTTTGTGAGCATTTTTGCCGGGATAACATATGCACATAACAGGGATAAGAAGGGTCTTGTTAAAGCCCCTGTAACCCAAAACCCTAAAGCCCTAATTAAACCCTAAACCCTAAACCCTAAACCCTAAACCCTAAACCCTAAACCCTAAACCCTAAACCCTGTATTGTTAACGTTGGGCCCGACCCTGGTTTGCGACTGCGCGGCGGCTGCAACAGGCCAGCGTGAGGGGATGTGATTCGCAGAGCAGCTTTTCGCGCTCCTCCCAACGGATCTCTGCCGCTTCTTTCGAAGCTTAGAAGCCCTCAGCCTAGAATTTGCTGGTGAAAAAACTTGAACAGTCCGAATTTCACCCTCAACCGTAAACCCCAAACTTCAGCTTCTTTCGGGTATTGGGGGCGGATGTAAAGTCCGATTTGAGGATCTGGGGTTCAAGGTTTAGGGCCCGGACGCCTCAGACACTCCCACGCCCCTTCAGCAAGGCAGCAAGAAAGCACGAAATATCCCAAGGGCCTACCCTAAACCCTAAACCCTAAACCCTAAACCCTAAACCCTAAACCCTAAACCCTAAACCCTAAACCCTAAACCCTAAACCCTAAACCCTAATACCCTAAACCCTAAACCCTAAACCCTAAACCCTAAACCCTAAACCCTAAACCCTAAACCCTAAACCCTAAACCCTAAACCCTAAACCCTAAACCTAACCCCCCTACACCCTAAACCCTAAAGAAGGGGGCGGGGGTCCTTCAGGGCCCGCCGCTGCAGCTCCTCAGCCTCCTCCAGTTGACCCTGTTCCTGACCAGTTTGCAGTTCTCTGTTGGTTGGTGCAGTTTAGGGTTTAGGGTTTAGGGTTTAGGGTTTAGGGTTTAGGGTTTAGGGGTCTGCAGGCACAGCGAACGGGACGACGAGGACGACGAGGACGAGAACGACACCATCGCCACCGCTGCAACTTCACGCAAGATCACGTCGTGATACCGTGCTCGTTGCACGTACATTTTCTGAGGGCAGAGCCCAGACCTAAACCCTAAAATGCAAGCCCCCAACGCCCAACGCCTAAGCAACCCTCAAGCCCTCAAACCCTAAACCGCGCACCCTCAACCCTACCCCCTATAAACCCTTTTATGTAATCCCTAACAAGGACTGTTAGTATGAGGGGGAACATCTCACTTAAGCCCCAAATCTCAACCCTAAACCCTAAACCCTAAACCCTAAACCCTAAACCCCTCAAAGGGGGAACATCCCGCTTGCCTGGAGCAGCAAGCCCAGCTGCGTCAGCCGCTCCGTCGCTTCGGCGTCCGAGATGCCGAGACGCTCGTAGCCTCCCCGATTTTAGGGGCCAGACGCACTTCAGGCCAGGGTTCAGAATCCTTTTTATTTAGGGTTTAGGGTTTAGGGTTTAGGGTTTAGGGTTTAGGGTTTAGGGTTTAGGGTTTAGGGTTTACTTCAGCCCAGGGTTCATTGAGGACTTCAGTCCAGGGTTCAGGGTTTGGGGCTTACGGTGCTCTATCTGGGTATACAAAGGCTTGGCTCTCCCACATGCCGGTCCTTTCTGCCACCACGCACCCGGTTCCTGTCGCGGCCGTTCCCCGGCGGCCAGAACTGCCCGGCAGCATCAACGAATCCGTTGCGAACGTAGTATCCGCCGCTGCTGGAGCTGCATGCCACCGCTTGTTTTTCCCCGAGCTCTCGGGCAGGAGTGCCGCGTTTTGTACGCGCGGCTGTAGCAGAACTTGAGTTTCTCATGCACCCCAACCCTGAAACTAAACCCTAAACCCTAAACCCTAAACCCTAAACCCTAAACCCTAAACCCTGAAAGACCCAAGATTCCCCAACAAAAACCATGAAATCATCGTCAGACTCCGAGCACGATGATCCTTCAGCACATAAAATCGGTCGGACCCTGCAACCCCGACGCAGGCAAACCTCAAGCAAAGCTTAGGGTTTAGGGTTTAGGGTTTAGGGTTTAGGGTTTAGGGTTTAGGGTTTAGGGTTTAGGGTTTAGGGTTTAGGGTTTAGGGTTTAGGGTTTAGGGTTTAGGGTTTAGGGTTTAGGGGCTGACACCCAAATCCTAACCCATCCCCTTCAAGAACCCAGCAACCTGTGAACACCTCGCAGTCAAACTCCAACTTAAACCAAATCTCAAAGCTCGAAGCCAAAACATGGGGCAGTTTGAGGTTGAGGGTTGAGGGCTTAATGATTTTTACTATGGCCCCTCCTCTACATTATCGTATACTCCTGTACCCCGAAAGCCTTGTTCCCTACCTCTTTCTCATTTCCCCACCCTGCTCACCCCCCGCACTCTCTGTCTGCCTTCCCCCCACCCTACCACACCGACCCCTACCCCTCCCCGCCCCCCCCCCCCCCCCCCCCCCCCCCCCCCCCTAAACCCTAAACCCTAAACCCTAAACCCTAAACCCTAAACCTGGAAGTTGCGACCTTGCCTAGCCGCTGCCGTGGCCATGGGCCACCCCAAACCCTAAACCCTACGTCACTTTGGGCCACGGACCACCCCGAACCCGAAGCCTTAAACCCGAAACCCGACATCACTTCTGCAGACTTGGCCTTGCATGCACCTGCGGCTGAGCTGCTCCGCCTAGAGGGCACAATGGGGCTGACAAGGGAGCCCAAGCCCCCTAAGCCCGATAGAAGCCCTAAGCCCAAGTTAAAAGGGAAACCCAAAGGAAAAGCAAAAAAGGGAACCCAAAAAGGGAACCTAAACAAGGAAACACAAAAAAGGCAGCTAAAACCAGATCCAAGAGGGGAACCGAAAAGGAATAATCGTACGGAAGTTACCTGGTCCCTTAGTATGGGCACGCCCTTAATTGGGGAAACCTTCTAGACCCCTTTATAAACCCATAAAACACAAGGGCCCATACGACAGAACTCTTCAAAGAAGGTAGGAGACCACACTAAGGGACCATATAAATGCCTTAAGGCATAAGGGCACACGAACGGTCCTAGGTCTGTCCGTAACTTGAGTTTCGAGTCCTTTGGGGGCTGACGGTCTTGGCCACACAATGGCCTTGTGTGCCATTCAGACAAGGGTTTGGGCTCTAGGGTTTAGGGTTTGGGGTAAGTGTGGTGGCCAGAATTGAGAAGGCTCGCGGAACGAAGTGGTGGTGGACTTTCGGTGGTGGAGGAGGCGTTGTTAGTGCTGTCTTAAGTGGTAGTCCCATGTCAGGGCATCCTCAACATGAGGCAAACACACGTCTTCGGGAATCGAAACCTCAACTTGGCCCTAAACCCTAAAACCCTAAACCCTAAAACCCTAACCCCCGAAACCCCGAAACCCTAAACCCTAAAACCCTAAACCCTAAACCCCGAAACCCCGAAACCCTAAACCCTAAACCCCGAACCCGGACCTCGGGCAATCGACCCTGGAGGCGCAGGATCACGGCCAACTCCTCGGCAGTTCCTGGGTCGAAGCTTGGTATCATGGGGGTTTTGTTTTTGGACTTAGGGTGTAGGGTTTAGGGTTTAGGGTTTAGGGTTTAGGGGTGACTAGGGGTGGTGGGGCTCTAGGGTGGGGGGATACGGGTGGTGGGGGTCGTCCGGATCAGGTTTTGAGGGTTGAGGGCTTGGGCTTCGAACCTCTCAACCCGCATGCTCGACTCTCCCCCTCAAACGAGCTTTTCCTAAACCCTAAACGCTAAACCCTAAACCTAAACCCTAAACCCTAACCCCAAACCCCAAACCCAAAACCCCAAACCCTAAAACTTAAAACCCAAACCCCAAACCCTAAACCCCAAACCCTAAATCTCAAACCCTAAACCCTAAACCCTAAACCCTAAACCCCCAAACCCTAAACCCTAAAGACCCTAAACCTGAAATCCTGAAAGTCGGCCCTACCCGGAACAGGCCATTCCCTCTTCCCAGGTGCGAAGGGTCTCCAGACGCCCCTTGCCCAGGTCCTCTGAAGGTTTAGGGTTTAGGGTTTAGGGCTTAGGGTTTAGGGTGTAGGGTTTAGGGTTTAGGGTTTAGGGTGTAGGGTTTAGGGGTCAGGGTTTAGGGTTTAGGAGCTTTGGGGCCTTGAGGACTCTCGGGTGCTAGGGCGCTTTCGGAGGTTGGGTTGTAGGGGTTCGGAGATTGGGACTTCCGGTCTCGCGGGTGTAGGGGGCTTGAGGGCAATTTTAGGGACTTTAAGGCTGCCGCGTGGAGAAAGTAGCACATGAGTTGTCAATTTTCAGGTTTTAGGGTTTCCAGCCTCTAGCTTGGAATGTTCCCCTTATGCTAACAGTCCACAATAAGGTTATAACGGGGGGGTAGTATAATGCCCATTGAGGACTGTTGAGGGGGAATACCAGGGTGGATCCACCGAAGGCGTGGATTGCTGGGTTTGGCCCAGGCAAAAGCCGTTAGGCCCGGGTTCGGATGTCAGGGCCTGGGGGTTCCCACCCTAAACCCTCAACCCTAAACCCCAAACCCTAGACCTTAAACCCGAAACCCGAAACCCTAACACCCTTGCGTCCTTCTCCTTGCTTTCCAGCACTTTTCTGCACAGCTCCTGCTGGAGTACAGAAGACATGGATTGTTCTGGCAAAGCGCGGCCTGATTGCTAGGGTTTAGGGTTTAGGGTTTAGGGTTTAGGGTTTAGGGTTTAGTGTGTAGTGTTTAGGGTTTAGGGTTTAGGTTTTAGGGCTTGGGGTTTAGGTTTAGGGCTTGGCGCCTAAGCTTGGCTGACACAGCTCATAGGGACACCACACCATCGCCAGGTCAGGGGATTCTCGGTCGTAGAAGATGGGTGCACATGATCACGCAATCACTCAGATGAGCCAGCGCAACAGGGCCCCAAAGCAAAGCCGCTGCTACTTGAGACGCAACTTCTAAGCTGGAGCATGTCCGATCGCTGTACCCCGTGGCAACTGCTCAACTACCAGGTATACGCCATAGGTGCTCCTGTAAGTTCGATCCCTTCTGTCGGTTTCTAACCCTCCCAAACCCCTCCCAAACCCTGACCCCACACCACGACAACCTACCCTCATCATGCTGGATGCACTTCTGCTCACCATCCTCGGCATCGACGTACTTCGCCTTGGCTTTCCTCCGGTCGGTGAAGCTGTAGGTTAGGGGTTAGGCTTTTTGCTGCTTCTGGTTCTAGTTTCCAAACACTCTGCATAGGACCCCCGAAAGAGCTTACCTCCATGGGGTACCACTAGACATTCCCATTCTACTTTTAAAACTCGTCCTAAAGTCCTACGCGTCCATGTACCTGTATAATTTCGACTTGGGCCTCCAAGGGGTTCCTATATAGCTTTAGGCCCAGGTAGATACTATACATGTACATGGACCCTGAGCCCTAAACCCTAAACCCTAAACCCTCAACCCTACCAGATAGGTACCTGGACCCTTAGGGTTGGGGGTTACCCCTTTGGGATGTTGCTGGGGACCCAAATTTCATAGCGCTGATACTCAGAACGTCATCCACCAGGGCTATGTTTTCAGGCTTGTTTAGGGTTTATTGGGCTATTTTAGGGCGTAGGGCTATATATATACACACACACGCACCAAACTCTTGCTAAGACAGTTGAGGGTTCAAGGTGTAGGGTTCGGGGTCAAATGCCGCCGTGGGTCAGCAACGCCACGATCCGTACAGCGACGTCTCGCCAGGATGCCGGGTTTGGAGGCTCTTGAACTTTGTAGCCTGGAGTTTAGGGTTTAGGGTTTGGGTTTAGGGTTTAGGAGGGAACCACTTCTCGATGATAGTACCAGCAATAAGGAATGTTCACCTATCTACAATTCCTACGGGACTATAATCTAAAGTCCCAAGCAACCCAGGAATACTGCAGAAGCCATTTGCTGTTTAATCGGATTTAAAGGGCTGGAAACCCGACCCCCCCGGCCCTCGCCCCTAAACCTGGGGAGGTTCGGAACCCCTCCCCTCACAAAAAAAGTCAAAATAGAAATAGGAATACATATTTTGTTATTTTACATAAAGAAGGTGGACAATAACAACAGTAACAATAACAATGAAGGGCACAGTTTAGGGTTTAGGGTTTAGAGTTTAGGGTTTAGGGTTTAGGGTCACAACAATCGAACCGGAATGGCAATGACTTCGGCGGCTGCCTTCAAGGGCTTTCTTCAGCAGCGTCTCCGCTTCAGGTAGCTCCACCTGATGCTCGAGGGTCTAAGAGAGCTGCTAAAGAGGTTTTTTTTGAACCGGAATCGCTGGAAGAGGTTTAGGGTTTGGGGTTTAGGGTTTAGGGTTTGGGGCTTGGGGTTTGAGATTGTTTAGGTGGCTCAAGGCTGTTGCAAGCTGGGGGTTTCTAGGTGGTGAAGCTGATAAAGCGAGGGGGTTACAAGATATCAGGGGCCCAATAAGCACTTCGTGGAGCCGTTTCTATAGAAAGCAGGGTCTAAACTTCTGTGACCCCAAATCTACACTCAGCAAGATTTCTACGAAACCTTACATGCACCCACATGAAACCCTAGCATCCTCAAGCCTCTGGGGCTTAAGGCCTGTTTGCTTAGTCTTGGTGCTTTCACTTTGAGTTTGCTTGGTGGGCCAAGATGCCAAATCGGGAGGTTTTAGGGCTTAGGGTTTAGGGAGCTAGGGAGCCAGGGAGCGTGTTAGGGTTTAGGGTTTAGGGTTTAGGGTTTAGGGTTTAGGGTTTAGAGCCCTTTAAGGGCCTTCACTCAAGAGCTCTCAACCTACAAAAAATGCCTAAGCCATAGCAAGCCTGCACCCAGAACCCAAGAAGCATAGGTTTCCTTGGCATTCTATGAACTCCATACAAAGACGCAACCGACCAATGATGAAGAGCTCTTGAAACTTGCTCCGACCGTACGAGGCATACATAAGAGCTTAAGAAGCAAGAAGTATATATATATATACACATGATTATGAATTCGATAAGCATGCAAAAACAGTACTTGAAGACATATACGGCCTTGTCCTGCTGAGGCTTTGTCCGAAACGCTGCTCGGCATCTCAAGCCGAAACGCCCACACCCACACCTCCAAAAAACTCTCAACTCTCAGCTTCCAAACCCTTGCTTGAGGGTTTAGGGTTTAGGGTTTAGGGTTTAGGGTTCAGGGTTTAGGGTTTAGGGTTTAGGCTTTAGACTATAAGTTTTTGAAATATCTGCTTTCTTATTGACGTATTGTTGCTACTGTTGCTGCTGCTATTTTCTGCTCGACATAAATACTATCAAGCAAATAACAAAACTTGTTCTTTTGCAATGGATTCTACATATAGTAACAACCCTAAACCCTAAACCCTACATCCTTGCCACCCCCGCAGGCCTGGTCGACAAGCAGCACGCCCAAGCGCGTCAGCGTCGCCAGGGAGTCGGGGTGGGTAGGGCCCAGATGCACCTCACGTCCTGGGATTTGTAGAGCCAAGAGTAGCCCAGAAATAAAAAAAGGGTGCCCTTTTTGGCTTGAAGGGGCTAAAAAAGGGCCCCCTGAACCCGAAGAAAGGGAATAAGGGCCTACTCTGGGTCCTAGGTGGTTCAGGGATCCCGCAGGCCCCTCCATAACCTTCAACCCGACCTGGACCACCAAAGTGCAGTTCCTTTGTGATACCTAACACCTCAAACCCTTAATCCTAAGCCCTAAACCCTAACACTTTCCTCGACAATGACTCTTTGCATCTGGGTGGCCACTCAGCACCTGCTTCCAGAGTTCTCTTGCCTCGTCAATTCCTCGGAGGTCTGGAGCAGTTCAGGGTTTAGGGTTTAGGGCGAAGAGGTTCTGGCTGATGCAGGGTTTAGAGTTTACTATACTCCCCCTAGAACCTCAATAAAAAACAGTATGTTGAATATCCTCTTGGGTTGATATATAGCCAAAAAAAAAACTCCCAAGGGGGATATAGTTTAGGGTACAGGGACTTGCGGAAGTCAAGGTGTTAAATCCTTTGCCCTTCCCCCTGCAAGTGGAGGCAGCAGTCCGACCGTGAAGGGCCAGTTCTCAAAGCTGTGCTTCTGTCGGCTTTCAGCAAAAATGCGCGGAACAAAACCTAAACCCTAAACCCCAAACCCTGAACCCTGAACCCTAACCTTAAACCCTAAGCCTTTGTTTGTAAAAGTTGACCTGGTTTAGCACCCCCCCCCCCCTCCTCCCCCCACGCCCCCCACGCCCACACACACACTGACGTTCCAGGCAAGGATCTACCCTGCGTGCAGACAATCTCCGCCAGCTGCATTGTAGTTGTCCTCGGCTGGCGGCAGCTCGTGTTTTGCACGGTGTGACGGGGGCTGCAGAAGCTGACCATGGAAGACTCATTACCAGGGTTTAGGGTTTAGGGTTTAGGGTTTAGGGCTTCTGATATGATAGTCTTCCCTGGCTAGAGTCATACTCAGGGAGGGGCTGGAAAAGTTGTTCTTGTTTTTTTTTTTTTTTTTTGGGGGGGGGGGGTGTGGGTGGGTCCTGTATCACGGGAGTCCTGCGCTGACCTCTGAGGAAATATAAGGGCCATATTAGGAGTATGCGAACGGTAACCTTTACGGGTACCACCACAGGAGTGCGAGTCTTACTGTAGGGTTTAGGGTTTAGGGTTTAGGGTTTAGGGTTTAGGGTTTAGGGTTTAGGGTTTAGGGTTTAGGGTTTAGGGTTTAGGGTTTAGGGTTTAGGGTTTAGGGTTTAGGGTTTAGGGTTTAGGGGCGTTACACCCTTAACTGCTTCTGCTGCTTGGGCTTTGTAGGCCTTTTCAGGGTGGTTCGGCGCAGTAGGAGGCCTGCAGCACCTCTTTGACTAGGCTGCTGAGTTGCGGTGTAGCGTTTCGGGTGTAGGGGTTTAGGAGTTACCCTAAACCCCAAACCTTAAGGCCGGTGCAGGGTTTGTCGATTGCTTGGGGGCTCTTCCGTTGAGGGCTTAGGGTTTAGGGTTTCGGGTTTAGGGATTTGGGTTGAGGGTAACTCCCAAACCCTAAAGGCAAAGCACTTCTTTACGTTTGCTTGCCGGAGAACCACTTCAAAGGATGTAAGGATGTGCGACTTGGGGGGGGGGGGTTAGGTCATGTGAGAATACGGGCCCTTCTATTTTACAACCCCCCCCCCCATATGTAATTAGGGTTTAAACCGTGAAGCCTTTTATGGTTTGGGGCTTGGGCATCTTGATCATCTACACTTCACCAGCACCAGCGCTCTCCTAAACCCTAACCCTAAACCCTAAACCCTAAACCCTAAACCCTAAACCCTTGCAGTACAAGGGCATCACGGAGGGATGCATGCCGCCCATCTTCTCGGAAGCCTCTTGCGGGAGACTCGTGTAACACTTTAAACAGGGATCTCACGCTCCAGAGGGTCCGCTCTTATGGCGCTCCTGTGGTATGAAATCTCTCAAAACCCGGTAGGGTTTGGGGTTTAGGGGTTAGGGGTTTGAGTCTGAGGACCTGTGTCCCGTCATCCCACTGCAAGTCTCTTGGTACGGCTTTGGGGGTCTGCGGTTTGTAGGAGTCCGGGCTCAGTATCTAGGACACGTCATTATGTGCAAAGGCAAGAACACAAACTCAAGAACACCCTGAAACCCTACAATCCCTACACTCCCTAAACCCGAAACCCTAAACTCTTTACCCCCCCAAGCCCCCACCAAGACTGCCACCGAACTTGCCTCGGAACGCGCGCGCCGCAGGAGTTGCTCAGCTGTCGCCAGGTGCCCTTCGTCCTGCTCAGATGATTTAACAACTAGGTGAGTCGAATCAGGCATCGAAGCCACATTTCGCAATGCAATCTGTTGACTCAAGAAGGGGAATTATAACATATCTCAAGGGCCTAGCTAGCTAAACCCCCGATGTCTGACAGGGTTCAGGTATCGTCCTCTTGTAGACTGTCTTACCCACAACCTTGCTGGGTGTGAATATTGAATACCCTAAACCCTAAACCCTAAACCCTAAACGCTAAACCACCCTAAACTGCAAAAGCTGGAGGCTCTGAGCCCGAAATTCTATACGGAATGAGCTGCGGCGGAGCTTTGTAGCTGTGGCTTTGGGTTTTGGGTTTTGGGTTTAGGGTTTAGGGTTTAGGGTTTAGGGGTTAGGGGTTAGGGCACGAGACCAAGCAAAACGCCAGCGCTGGGAGGATAACGTATTTAGGGTTTAGGGCGTAGGGGTTAGGGGTCTAGGGTTTAGAGGTTTAGGGTTTCGGGTTTAGAGGGTTTAGGGCTTAGGGCTTAGGGGGTTAGGGTTTAGGGTTTAGAGGGTTTAGCATCTAGGGTTTAGGGCGACCATCTTCAAGAAAGGCGATGACCAGTCTCTGGTGGGTAGGGCTTCTTGGGGTTTCCACTTCGTTGGTTTTAAATTTGTTTGGCAGAACCACCAAAAACTACAAGCTCGCAATCCCTACATTACCCTTAAAAGGAAGATTTTTCGGGGGGGGGGGGGGGGGAGTTCTGAAGCAAATAAGTAGTTTTCTTGGCCCCCTGCGCTCTGGAGACATGTCCGAAAACCATGTCAGTCAGCCCTTGCCCTTACCTTCAAAGACTGAAAGGAATAGTTCATACCTTGGTAGCCCAGTAACCATCTAACAAAGTGGGCACCCTTTTTTTAGTTGGTTACTTTCTACGGGAACCCAGCAAAAAAAAAAAGGTTAAAGGGTACCACTGGGCTACCAAGATACCTGCTTTGCGGTCTACTTCGTTGTCCAGTAGCCTAGAAAACTGAAGGTGAACCGTGCGACTTCTCTACTCTGCTACTACGTCTACAAGCAATACTTACTTTGAGTCACTTTAGTTAAACAGCCTCTGGTGCACTACTCCTATAAGCCAACAACCCTACCTCCCTAAACCCTCAGGAGGCCTTTTGGAGCCAATGGTTCTCTTAATCGTTCAAGGTATAGGGCCTATTACAATGGGAATTTTCTGGCGTTTAGTGTTTAGGAATTATATTATGGCAGTCTTGTTGAATTGCAGGCTCCCGTATGCAGGGCTTCCCGCGGACAGCAGAGCTCCATGTTTTGCGAGTCGCGCGACTCAGCTCGGGGCCGTCGAAGCCACGGCTCCGGACTCCCCAGGCAGCTCGGGCGCTGGCTCGGCAGCCTTCGGCTCCTTCGCGCCGGTCTCCGAAGGCCTTGCAAAGGGGCGTTTGAGTGGAACCTACATGCAAAACCTATGAAATCTAAAGCCTGCAAGCTCCCTTAGTCCCTACTCCCTTCTCCAAGTCTGCAGGCCCCCAAACCCCCATAAAAACACAAAACAAAACATGGTAGCACGCGCGCTGGAGTGCCCTGCGTTTTGTTGGCATGCGTTGGGTGTGGTTAAGTTGGAAAGTGTAAAAAACCGAGGTTTTTGACTCATTCCGGTTTTCGGAACCAGGAAGACACGCCACTGATCCCTCGAAGGGCGGGCGCTTTTTCTTGAAAATGAGTGTTTTGCCTAGGCGGGAGCCTTGTTTTGAAAGGCAGGAAAACCGAAAAGTTGTGTATACCATGTTTTAGGTGTTTTGAGCTTATTTCATGTCTTTGTGTAAGAGAGGATTTGGGAATGTTTGGGCTTGGACTGCTTTGGGGATGCTTGGGCTTGAAGGTTTTGGTCAAAAAGGCTTTGGGAAGGTTTGGGCTTGGACTGCTTTGGTGGGCTTGAAGGTTCAGGCAAGAAAGGATTTTGGGATGCTTGGGGCCGGCTTTTGTTTCGGGGGGGGGAGATGCCTGCAGCAAGTGCTATGTATATTCGCAACATGGATATTCCCAACATCCAACATGGATATTCCCAACATGGATATTCCCAACATGGATATTCCCAACATGGATATTCCCAACATGTATATTCCCAACATGGATATTCCCAACATGGATATTCCCAACATGGACATTCAACCCCAGGAAACGCAGGGCACACGAGGGTGCGTCCTACCAAAAACATGACCTTTTCTCAACCCTGAACCCTGAACCTCCTAATTACTTCTCCCCGCCCCTCATCTCCGCTCAAGCACCGGCTCGGCATAGGCCGCTCGGCAATCAGGGCCATCTCCTCGCGAAACGGCTTCAGGTTGCCAGTGCCCACCGGGTCGATGATGGCAAACACCACCTCCACCAAGAATGATTTCTGGGATTTGGGGTGGCTTAGGGGCTGGTGGATTTAGTGTCGGGCATATTGAAAGCCGCAACTGCAACTCTTTCTTGGTGACCTGAGCTTCTAACGATACATATCCAAAACAAACAAATATACATAACGTATATATGTATATAACATAATACATATGTATACACACATGCATATGTGTGTATGTACATACATAAATAAATAAATAAATAAATAAATATAAATATATATATATATATATATATACATGTATACATACATACATATATATATATATACATATATTTAGATATGTTTATACATATTTATGTACATATATATAGCAAACCATGAGGAAGGTACCCCAAAACAGAAGCTACAATGGGAGGTCTAGGTTGAGCCCCTTTGGAACCAGCCACCACGGAGCCCAAGCACCTTGAGGCAGCCCTTTCCCCTTAAACCTCCGAACCGCTTTAGGGTTTAGGGTTTAGGGTTTAGGGTTTAGGGTTTAGGGTTTAGGTTTAGGGTTTAGGGTTTAGGGTTTATGGCTGCGTCTGAAATTCTTGCCCGTGCGCGAAGCTCATGGAGCTCCACCACGGCCAACAAAGCCCACGAAAGCCCTAACAACATCCCACAAGGAAGAGAGCTCAAACCCTAAACCCTAACCCCTAAACCCTACGCCTAAACCCAAAACCCCAAACCCTAAACCCTAAACCCTATAAACCCCAAACCCCAAACCCCAAGCCCTAAACCCCACCTTCTCAAAGGCCCCTCGGAACTCCTGGGACGACAGCAGCTCCCGGAAAATAGCGGCAGTCGGCCGCGCAGGGTTCCCGAAGGCCCCACATCCGAAGGCGCCCAGGACCAGGTTGGCGTGGCCCGACCTAAGGTGGCTTTGTAGGGGTTAAGGGGGTTTCGGGTTTAGGGTTTAGGGTTTAGGGCGTCTCTAGGGGTGAGGGTTGAGGGGTTTAGAGCGTTGAGGGGTTTAGTGCATTTAGGCTTCCGGATGTTCCAAGCGCAACTTACAGGCTGGCGTCACACGGCCCCGGGTTCGCGGGAACCTTGAAACTGCGGGCAAAGGCTGTAGGGTTGTTTAGGGGTTAGGGTTTAGGGTTTAGGGTTTAGGGTTTAGGGTTTAGGGCCGTACCTTGTTACAACCTCACACTTGACCGCCTGAATCCCAGGCACTGCTGGGCGGCAAAGAGCACCGAGCGGATGCGCAGCGTCACATCCACCGCCCAGGGCGACCCTGCCCAGCCTCCCTTGGGACGCCGGTCGGCGGCGCCGCAGGGCATGGCGGCGGACCTTGGCTTTGGGTTTATCTTGGGGGTTTGGAGGGATTTTCGGGGTTCTTAGGGGGGTTTAGGGTTTATAAGGGTTTAGGGGTTACATACGGGTGATGTAAGGGGTTTTGAAGGTTTGAGGTTGTAGAGGTCTAGTCGTGCTGTTCTACATCAGGGACCCTCCTTTCCAAGGGCTAGTAAACGTTTTACACATGAAAACAGGGGACCCTAGCTCTAACAAGCTAATCTCTCTAAGGTCTTTCGACGAAAAAAAACCGCCACAAGAGAGTTGCTTGAGAGCCTCTTGGGGACAGCACTGTGAGAGATCCCAGACTGGCACAGGGCGCGTAGGTGCCTTGGGCTTCATGAGGGCTTGAGAGGTTTTAGGGGATTTCGAATTTTATAATTGGGCGGGGGTGCGAAAGGTTGAGAGTCTAGGGTCTAGGGTCCTAGGAGGGTTGAGACTTTCGGTCTGTAGGGTTGAAGGAGCTTTGTCTTGGGTCTTTGAGGGCTTGGGTTTATGTCCATGCGGTACCTTCACCAGCCAAGTCTGAAGAGCTTGCTGCAACTCAAGAAACCTATACTCCCTGCCCCCACCTGAACACCATCTCACCCACCCCCCACCTAACCCCCTCACCCCCCACCCCCCCACCTAAAAGCATGGCCAATCTGAAATCCTAGATTCCACATCCCGCGAAATCAAGAACCTCCGCCAAATCCCTCACCCGCATCCCTTATGCTCTAACCCCGCAGCCCCAAAGCCGAACCCTAAACCTAAACCCTCCACCCTAAACATCACCAGGGCGAGGTGCCCGGCTGCCTCACCGCCAGCAAGTCTCGGGTGATCAGAGCGGTACCCGGGACAATCCTCAGGTTTTCAGAGTACCCTGATGAGGGCATTGTTGGGCTATAGAATTATAGGTACTTGGGTGGTTGATGCTGGTGTGGGGGCTTGGGGTTTGAGATTTGGGGCTTGGGTTTGGGATTGAGGCTAAAGGTTGGGGGTTAAACAAAATTGCAAAACACATTTGCGTAGAGTGAGAAGCAGAGACACTGGGGTGTTTAATTAGGGCTTTTGGAAATCTTCAGCTGAACAGCCCGAAAGTCTCAACACTACCACACCCCCCCCCCCCCCCCTAAGCTTGCAGACCTACTCATTGCGAGGCCCCATAGACTTTCTACTGCTAAGCCTCATGACTAAGCCTAAGTTGTACAACAAGCCCACAGGCCGAAGCCCAAGGATCGGGTAAGGCGCAGCTTTTAACGCGGGGTAGAGCTGCGGCAGCAAACGGCAAAGGTCTTCCTCCTGCCAAGTATCTCAGCAGCCCATCCCACAACCCCCCTAAACCCTAAACCCTAAACCCCAAAAACCTGCACCTAAACCCTGGACTCTGTGCCCTCGCAGCTCTGATCATCAAACCCCGCCTTTTGGGACGACCTCCCAAGCCCGGGACCTCTACGGGGGTCTAAACCTTGGACCCTATAGGGTTTAGGGTTTAGGGTTTAGGGTCTCCAAGTCCGAAACTTCAAAACTGGAGAAAACCCCACTAGGATCCTGAAGCAGGCACTTTTGGTGGTATAGGTAGTATAGGGCAGAGGATGTCAGAATGTTGATTCCAGTATTGACCGAGGACGCCTGCGCCAACCCGCCGCTCCGGTACCGGCCGCCCGGAATGTCGGCATTGGCGAAGTTCAGGGCACAAGCATCTCCTTAACAACCCTAAACCCTAAACCCCAAACCCTAAACCCTAAACCCCAAACCCTAAACCCTGCAGTAAACCCCAAACCCTAAATCCTCCGGGGACGGGGTGATCAGGGCTTCAGGTTTCCAGCAGGGAGGGCCTGCGAGTGAGCTGTAGATTCGGAGCCCAAGCTTGCGAAAACCTTAAACTTAATCCCTGTTCCCCTAGGAAGAAAAAAGGATCCTTTTTGTTCATATATAAGAAAGCCCCTAACCCAAAAAGCAAAAAGGATCCCTAACACTGATCTAGTAAACCCTAAACCCTACACCCGAAACTCACCGAAGAACAAAGCCTCAACTGGCCGATAGGGCTCGCGGGAAGCCCAGTGGCTTTCAAATATTTTCGGCTTTCTCGGGTTCCGGGTTTAGGGTAAGGGTTTATAGGGTTTAGGGTGCAGGGTTAAGGGCTTATAGGGCTTAGGCTTCTGAATTTAGGATTCGGGGTTTGGGGAAGCAGGGCTCGGAATTTTAGGGTTTTGGTGGCTTAAGGCTCAAGGGCCTCCAGTCTCGGACGCAATGGACATCTTCAACTGTAAGGCTGAACGAACTCCGACGTAGGATTTTGCGATTTTGGGGACCGGACGACCACACTATGCATTTTTGCCTAAGGCTATAGCCCACACTCAACAGTGGGGTCGAATACCCGAAGTGCCCCACCCAAAGAGTTCATCTGCTTCAGGTCTTGCACCAGGCTCTCCAGGCACCTCTACAGCTTGGGGTGTTCCCCCTGTTAGTATCACCTATGATAATCCAAATGAAGGAGTGTTAGTACCTTATACTACCCGTCCTGAATAGGGATTGTAGTACCCCTATTAAAAAAAGTATCCCCATATTTCCCGGATCAGGAAGAGCATTTTGTACTTTTTGAGTGTTATTCCTTTTTTTGTTTCCTTTGTGTTTTGGGGGAGGGGGGTTCTTAAGAAAGTAATGGAAACAAAAAGGTTTACGGGTGTTTGGAAGACGCGTCTCCAAGCACCAGGGCTGCCGTAAGCGTGTCCACGTTGGCGCAGCAGACCTCTGGCCGTCAGGGCTCCGCACTAGGGATCAATCACTAGGGTGTATGTAGGTTGTCGGGTTTGGGGTTTAGGGTTCAGGGCTTCTTGCTTTCATGGTCCTAACAAAGGTGCGTATGGGGGCTTTAGGTTTTTTGTGGTTCATGAAGCTTTTGGAGCCCTGGAGCTGCCAACACCGTAAACCCCAAAAGGGCCCTAACTACGACCAACACCTCCAGCGACCACGGCGAGAGAGAGAGAGGGAGAGTGAGAGAAACAACGAAGGAAGGAAAGAAAGAAAGAAATAGAGAAAGTGAGAAGAACAAACCGAGAGGGAAAGAGAGAGACAGAGAGAGAGAGAGAGAGAGCCAGACAGTGGAGGAGAAGGAGGCAGAGAAAGATAAAGAGAAAGAAGGCAAGAGAGTGAGAGAGAGAGAGAGAGAGCGACCTCCCAACTGATCTGTCTATGTGCAATGTACAGCAGAAGATGCATGCAAAGCAGACAACTCAAGCACATCAGGAGACAGAGACAGAGACAGAGAGAGAGAGAGAGAGAGAGAGAGAGAGAGCGAGAGCGAGAGGGAGAGAGAGCGAGAGCGAGAGCGAGAGCGAGAGCGAGAGAGCGAGGGAGCGAGAGAGAGAGAGAGAGAGAGACAGATAGGGGGAGGGAGAGCGCGAGCAAGATTCAAAGGCAATAACAAATAAAGAGTGGGCGGACAACATGAGAACCAACTTCCGTACACATGTGCGAGCACACATGCACACTCCCCGCGGACAGGAACAAAGACAGTGCGTGCATGTAGAGTTCAACAGATACAGAAACATACATATACGCATATATGTATATCCTAGATCCCAAACCCGATCCCAAACCCGAATCGATGTCCTAATGCACCCTACTCCGCTCTAAGCACAATCACGCGCAAAGAACCGAAGCTGCCCCTGAGTCCACCAAAGCCCCAAACGCCTTCAACCTCCGAAGGGTTCAGGGTTTTCGGTTCAGGGTTTAGAGAAAACCCTAAACCCCAAACCCCAAACCCCAAACCCTAAACCCTAAACCCTAAACCTTAAACCTCCAAACTCCCAACCTCCAAAGCCCTAAGGGCCCCCCTTTGCAAGTTCGTTCTCGAAGCCTCCGTCTTCTCGAATCGCATGGTCCCCCCGGGCTCGGGCGACTCCGGGCAGCGAACCTCCTCGGGTTTAGGGTTTAGGGTTTAGGGTTTAGGGTTTAGGGTTTAGGGTTTGGGGGCTGCGGTCATGGCCTTTGAAGGCAACTTGAGGATGTTGCCGAAGGAGCACTAGGACTAAGACCCATAGAGCTGGGTCTAGGGAGGGTTTAGGGTTTAGGGTTTAGGGTTTAGGGTTTAGGGTTTAGGGTTTAGGGTTTAGGGTTTAGGGAAATCCGAGCCTCAGCGGCCACCGCTGCCACAGCCTGCCAAGGATCGCCGAAGCCTCCACGCTCAAGGATCGTGTCGTTGGCTTCCGCGATGCCCTCAACGTAGGGATGGGGTTTAGGGTTTAGGGTTTAGGGTTTAGGGTTTAGGGTTTAGGGTTTAGGGTTTAAGGTTTAGGGTTTAGGGTTTAGGGTTTAGGGTTTGGGGTTTAGGGTTTAGGGTTTAGGGTTTAGAGTTTAGGGTCCAGGGCTGAGGACCTGGCCAGCTCCTACTTCTGGGTTTAGGGTTTAGGGTGTAGGCTGTAGGGTGTAGGGCTCAGGCGCAAGAGGGTGCAAGGGTTGGTAGTGATGAAGGTCCCTACATACATAAGTACCATTTTACCATTTATAAGAGGCTTCCGAACTTAGGTCTCCCGAAAGGGAGCTCCCCTATGCCTTGCGAAGTTGGAGCTGTTGGGGGTCTGGGGGCCTCTCAACTCTTTCACTTGGTAGCCCAACAACCATATCATAATAAGGGCGCCCTTTTTGCGGGGGTTGGTTACTTTAGAAGGGAACCTTGAACCAAAAAAAGGGGAAAAGGGTACCACTGGGCTACTAAGCAAAGCCTGAAAGCCCTGAGCTAATTGGAGTTCAAAGGAGGCAGGAAGCTGGGGGCTTCTGCCCATATACCTGTTGAGGGGATGGCTGCCTGAATGTCTCCCCAAGACAAATGACCCAGCACTTACCCAAAACCCTAAACCCCAAAACTCCTAAACCCCAAAACCCCAAAACCCAAAACCCAAAACCCCAAAACCCCAAAAACCCAAAACCCAAAACCCTAAACCCCCCAAACCTCCCTCCTTTGTTTCACGGCGTTCGGCTGCAAAGGGCCTTGACCGAGGCCCATTTCTCGCGGTAGCGGTGGGCTTCCAGCCGCTTGCAGAGCTCGGCGGAGAGGTGGAAGTAGTGCCCGCTCATGGCTTGGGGGAAGTTTAGGGTTTAGGGTTTAGGGTTTAGGGTTTAGGGTTTGGGGCTTAGGGCTTGGGGCTTAAGGTTGAGGGTGGAAGTAATGCCCGCTCATGGCTTAGGGGCGGGCTTAGGGCTTAGGGCTTAGGGCTTAGGGCTTAGGGCTTAGGGCTTAGGGCTTAGGGCTTAGGGCTTAGGGCTTAGGGCTTAGGGCTTAGGGCTGAGGGCTGAGGGCTGAGGGCTGAGGGCTGAGGGCTGAAGGTTTAGGGTGGAAGTAATGCCCGCTGATTGCTTGGGCTTAGGGCTGCTTAGGGTTTTCTTGAGGTTCCGGCTTGTTGCTTTTTAGGGGACACGAGGGGGGGACGGGCGAGGGAGTCGTTTAGGAGGGCTGTTTTGGCTGTTACTAGTAAACTGGTAGGAGCTGGGGTTTGGGAAGGTCTTACACCCGACTCGATGGGTCGATGAGTCTACGGAAGTGAGTTGAGGGGTCTCTAGGCTCTGTGTGGTGCTTCCTGCACACCCTAACCTCCAAACCCCTAAGCCAACCCATACCGATACCCTAAACCCTAAACCCTAAACCCTAAACCCCCCAAACCCCAAACCCTGTAGCAGAAACGTCCTTTCGCTCTTGAGCCTGCCTGTGCACGGAAAGTCCGGTCGGAAGCTTCATGGGTTTTAGGGATATACCAGCGTGTCCCGTCTCTATCTCTTGTGGCATTCGCGCTTTCCGGGTTTAGGGTTCAGGGTTTAGGGTTAGGGCTTAGGGTTCATTTAGGGTTCAGGGTTCAGGTTTTAGGGTTTAGGGTCGAGGATGAACCAGAGGGTCCAGCCCCTTTAACTTGAAAGCTCAAAGCGGCATCCACTTGCTTGGCCCCCAGGAGTGACTTAGGACAAACAGGAACCCTAAACCCTAAACCCTAAACCCTAAACCCTAAACCCTAAACCCTAAACCCTAAACCCTATTTTTGTTTGAAGGGGGTCGAGGGTTTCGGGTTAGGGTTGTAGGTTTGAGGGTTTTAGGGGAAGGGAATCCAACCCCGAATTAAAAAATGCAACTAGAGACCACTCTGAGACCCTGGGGTTTAGGGTTTAGGGTTTAGGGTTTAGGGTTTAGGGTTTAGGGTTTAGGGTTTAGGGTTTAGGGTTTAGGGTTTAGGGTTAAGGGTTTAGGGTTTAGGGTTTAGGGTTTAGGGCTACTCGCCCAGTGCTGCAGGCGTCCTGCAAGACTTTCGCCAGTGAGCTGGTGCAGCCAAAAGCCTCTTCCAGCTTGTTCTGCTCGCGCCTTGCTGAAGGCTATAGGGCTTAGGGTTCCCAAACCCTATTAGGGTTCCCAAGCCCCTAAACACTCAACCCTAAAAACCTCCAGGATAGATATGAGGATGGGCGCTCTGTGAGCACTTCAACACCTCTACGTGTCAACTCTGCATTCGCCTGTTGCAAAGGGTCGAACCCGGGGCCTATATATGGCAAATTCGGGTCCTTCTTTTTCCTACCTTTAAAAATTCGGGCCCGCAGTATAAGCGTGATCCAAAAAGGGGACCCTCATTTAGAGAACCCACCATATAGCCCCTTGTATTTTCAGCCCTGCAAGCAATATGGGTAGTTCTGCAGGAGCCCCACGAGCCCCAAAACCCCACCTTTTTGAGTACAGACTTTGAAAAAGGAAAAAAAACAAACAAATCCGATGAACGCGCTGGCCTCGAGTTCCCAAGTATTTGAGGGTTTTGGGTTTTGGGTTGAGGGTCCAAAACTTGTATTCAAACTGCCCCCGGAATGTCCATTCGAATCATGAGGCCACTAGATGTGCAGCTCTGGAAATTGTGGTTCCTATTCGGGTACCTCCATGAACAACTATAAGAATAATTCCTAAAAACTATCATGACAACTGCCTGGGCCTAGATGGCCAGCAGTTGCATTCTACGCTGCGCCCAGGCGCAGCATCGTCGCCAGTTTCCAGGCGGAGGCGAGGCTGTGCCTGAGCAGTCTGGTTTAGGGTTTAGGTTTTAGGGTTTTTATAGGGTTTAGGGTTTAGGGTTTAGGGTCTGGCGCAGGGCAGAACCTGCAGCAATGCTCTTCACATGTCGCTGTGTGGAATCGACTAGCACAGCACAGAGGCACCCTTTGGCTGGTTTAGTTGAGAAACCCTAAACCCTAAACCCTAAACCCTAAACCCTAAACCCTAAACCCTATCACACTTCAAATCTCTAGAGCCAAACTATCCGAAGCTCGCGCTGTCCGGCGCTGAACCTCCGGCCAAGGTGCGGATGCGTGGCTCCCAGATGCTTCTGCCGATCCTTTGGGCACGACATGAGCTGTTATAGGGTTTAGGGTTTAGGGTTTAGGGTGTAGGGTTTAGGGTTGAAGGCGAAAAGCCCTAAACCCTACACCAAGTCCGGAAGAAAAAGAAAAGAAAAAAGACGCGCCTGCGCCGCGCGGCGCTGCATCATCTCAGCCTCGCCAGTTCTGCCCTGATCCTGGGCTGTGGGGCTGCAGGATTGAGGGGGGTGGGAAGGGGAGCAACTGTGGGATGTTTAGGGTTTAGGATTTAGGGTTTAGGGATTGGGGTTTAGGGTTTAGGGTTTAGGATTTAGGGTTTAGGGTTTGGGGTTTAGGGTTAGGGAGAGTAATTTGGGATGAAGGGCTGAGGGCTCTTGATAGCAGGCCTGGACTTCAAGAGTGGCTACCGATTCCCTCAACGCTCAAAACTCATGCCCATTCTTCCCTGTATAGCCCCCAACCCCCATGCCCCCTAAACCCTAAACCCTAAACCCTAAACCCTAAACCCTAAACCCTAAACCCTAAACCCTAAACCCTAAACCCTAAACCCTGAACCTCAAACCTTAAACCCTAAACCCTGTAATTTCTAAAAAACCTCACAACCCGCAAGCGCTAAAGCCCTAAACCCCTAACCTCCGCCCTTCCCTCGCCCGCCTTCAACAGTGCCGCCAGCTCTTGCACAGTACTCAGCGTGTCGATGTGCACGGGTCCGAGCTGCTTTTCCCGACCTAGTGTCCGGCTCAGGACTTTGGGAGGGGGGGGGGAGGTTTAGAGGGTTTCGGGGCTCAGGGGGGTTTGGTTCAGGGCTTAAAGTGTAGGGCGTTTGGAGGGTTGAGGGTTTTAAATTCCACGTGACAAGGTACAGTAGGACACCTCCATCCACCTCCAGACAAGCCTGCTACGCAGCACCTGCCAAATCCACCAACACTCTAGCCCGCCATGCCAGACGAAACGACACCCTGAACCCGAAAGCCCAAATTGTTCTGAGGGCCTGGAAATGCTGGATCTGAGATTTGCGTCGGTTTGGCGGGGGGGGGGGGGGGGCTGAACAAGAAAGTCTCGTTCGCCCGAACGCAGAAGGGCTGCACAATATCGTGAAGCCATCGCTCCAAGAAGCACTTCTGAAGACCACTTCCCAAGCCAACTTCCCCAATGCACCCATGGGTGCTAAAGGCCCTGAACCCTAAACCCTAAACCCTTAACCCTAAACCCTTAACCCTAAACCCTTAACCCTAAACCCTTAACCCCCACACCTGAAAACCTCGAGTGGCTCAAGTGCATACCAGAGCAAGTGGAGGCGCTGGGCCCCTAGCCACTTGTGTATTGAAAGTTACTTCGGGTTCTAGGGTGAAGAAGGGGGGATGAGGTCTTCGTGTCCTGAACCCGCAGCCCTAAACCCTAGCCCTAAACCCTAAACCCCTAAACCGCTTGGGCCCCCCCCCCCCCCCTAAAACCCCGTACACAAACCTCTCCACCGCTCTTGCGGGCCAAAGCGTCCGCGAAGGGCTCTCTTCAAGAACTTCTCGGACTCCGCCAGCCGCCCCAGAGCATGGAGGAGACAGCCCAGGTAGTGCACCTGGGAGTCAAGGGACTAAAGGAGGGATCTCTATAAGGGACCTTAGGGTTTAGGGTTTAGGGTTTAGGGTTTAGGGTTTAGGGTTTAGGGCCTGGGAGGCTGTCCGGAGTAAGGTTGACAGGTTTATCTCCTGAGCCTTCTAGTTTGAAACACAAAAAAACACCGGCCTAAACCCTAAACCCTAAACCCTCAACCCTCAACCCTAGACCCTAAACCCTAAACCCCAAACCCTAAACCCTGAACCCTAAGCAGCTGCCGGACGGAGTATTGACAAAAGGAGTGCCCATCAGTCTGGCAACGGACATCAGCGTCGAGGCATGAGAGTAGTCGAGCTGCTCCTTGACGAGTTTGGGATGAATGTTTGAGGGCTCTTAGACCCTAAACGCTATACCCTAAACCCTAAATCTTAAACCCTAAATCCTAAACCCTAAACCCTGCATGTCAGCAACATACTTTCAAACCCATAGTTAGACATCCTAAATACGTACGGGGCCTTTTTCCCCACTGTCAAACGAAATTTGGGACGTCCTTCTCTTCCAGCAGGCGAGGGGGTAAAGGGCTTATAGGACTTCTGGCTTATGAGCTTTCCATAGGGATATAGGAGTCATAGGGCCCAGTGGTAGTTCTTGCTTGTTCTTGGGTGCCTCACCTTGGGTGCAATGGATAAAGCCCAGCAACCACAACCCCAAACCCTAAACCCTAAACCCTAAACCCTGAACCCTAAACCCTAAACCCTAAACCCTAAACCCTAAACCAAAAAAGTGTAGTAGCAGGGTGCCGCAGGAATTCCCGATTCTAGGGTTCAGGACTTCGGGACAAGGGTCGCGTTTAGGGGTCTGGGGTGTGGGTTCAGGGTTTCGGGTTGCGAGTTTCGGGTTTCGGGTGGGGTGTAATAGGGTTTACGGTTTAGGGGTTAGGGGTTCAGGCTTAGGTCTAGGGATCGCGCAACCTTAAACCCTAACCCCTTTTAGGGCCGGAGAACTCTGGCGACTTTTGAGGGAGACATAAAGAGAACAAATTAGGAAACACATGAAATAACAAATACATCCATCATGTGCAAAACTCTCAAACTCACGCGAAGATCTTTAAAAACACACACCACGCACACACTCTCTTCTCCCACCCACCCCCCCCCCCCCCCCCCCCCAAAAGAAAGGATTACAAAGCAAACTGTAGAAGCTGTCACTACTGTGAGAGGGCGTTGCGGGGCTCTTTCCCTAAGGGTCCATGTACCTAAATATGGAATACTTGGGCCTTAACGTACTTCCTATATCAGGACTTTTGGGTCTAAGTATATAATAATAAGGTACATGGACCCTTAGGGTTTAGTCTTCCCCAAAATCAACAGGAGCTGCGCTCCTCGATGCCCTGTAGGGCACGGCGCTGCAACTTTTCGGCCTGGCTATTGGGGGAGGACACTTGCCGTTTTTCGGGCTGCTTTACCCTAGGGCTCCAAGTATACAAATAATACCTACATTGGGGTCTAAAGTCTGTAAATAATACCTACTTTGGGCCATTTGGAGCCTTAGGGTTAGGGTTTGGGGATTAGGGTCTTAGTGTTCAGGGTGTATAGCGCCGTAGAACTCAGTAACCCTAAACTCTAATCCGAGGATCTGACTAGTAGAACCTCTGAAAACTACTTTTTGGCCCAAACCTCCGGGAAGACTACTTTCCATTGCGGGAGCCAAAACCCCAAAAATGTACAAGACCACAAACCAGCAAGGAAGAATCCCCAACACGGACCCGCAGGCAAACTCTTGCCCCTTTTCCATCCCAGATTTGATAAGAATCCCAAGCGCCCTGAACCTGTTAAACCCCAAACCAAAAATGTCACCCGATCCTCACACGTCGGAGGCCGACCGCCGGTGCTCCTCGCGTGTTTTCGTAGGGGCTTTGCCGCTGGCCGCAAACACTCGATCTTACGCCAGCACCCTAAACCCTAAACCCTAAACCCTAAACCCTAAACCCTAAACCCTAAACCCTAAACCCTAAACCCTAAACCCTAAACCCTGCGCACGGCCGCGATGCGCACCAGGAGCTCCTGTTCCCTGCGGCGCGCCCGCTCCGCCTGCTCCGGGCGCCATCGCCGCTCGGCACGCGCGGCTTTGGGAGCCTTGAAGCCCCTGAAGAGGCCTGTCTGCTCACAGCCGCCGCCTAAACCCTAAACCCTAAACCCTAAACCCTAAACCCTAAACCCTAAACCCTAAACCCTGAACCCTAAACCCTAAACCCTGGACCTGGTATAGGTCGGCAGGGAGCACGAGCAATTCGGCGCAGAGTGATGCCAGGCAGCATTGTGGAGGAAGGGCTGGCACGAAGTGCTGCTACTGCCGAATGGCAGAGGCAGACCTAAGGGGGGCTACTTAGGTATATAGGGACTATGAGAAGGCGCATATGTATACATGTATATATATATATAAATATATATATATATATATATATATACGTACATTTATATACAAATATAGATTTTATATCTATATATAGGGGGGGGGGGGTATGTAGGGCCAATGTAGGGGAAGAAGATTGAGGGTCCCTGAAACCTTGAATCCTAAGCCCTAAGCCCTAAGCCCTAAGCCCTAAGCCCTAAGCCCTGAGCCCTGAGCCCTGAGCCCTGAGCCCTAAGCCCTATAAACCCTTTAGGTCCACTGGCACCTCTGGCAACCGGCCCTGTAGTTGGATGACGTAGCCGAGGTGGCCTGGATGTTGGATTGCAAGACGCAGCGCTCAAGAAGGCTTTCGTTTGGAGGGGTGCAGGGGTTTAGGGTTTAGGGTTTAGGGTTTAGGATTTAGGGTTTAGGGTTTAGGTTGAGAGTGTACTATTTCTAGGATAGAGGTGTCGAGTGTGCCATTCCTCCCCCCTCACGTCAAAAGCTTCGGTGTTCCTAGTCGAGGCTGAAGTATCGTACTGCGAACACAAAACTCCGACGGCAGCATAGAAAAACCGACCGCCAAAAAGCAAAACCTGATTTTGCACCCCTCCACCTCCCCCAACGACAGGGCTAAATCCCTAAACCCTGAATCTCGAAACCCAGCAAAAGCCCTAACCCTAAAGCCCTAAACCCGAAACCCTAAACCCTAGCCCTAAACCCTAAACCCTATAAACCCTAAACCCTAAACCCCGAAGCCCTGAACCCAGATTGGTCTCAGTGGCTGCTTGAGATGAGCGTATCCAGGTGGGAAGGGCCCAGGACCTTCCTTGCAGCACAAAGGGTTTGGGGTTTGGAGTTTAGGGTTTCGGGTTTGGGGTTTAGGGTTTGGGGTTTAGGGTTTAGGGTTTGGGGTTTAGGGTTTGGGGTTTAGGGTTTTTTGGGGTTTACAGGGTTGAGGGCTGGAGATTGAGACCCCTGCGCCCTCAAACCCCAAACAAGAAGACCCAAAGAAAACAAACCCTAAACCCGAAACCCTAAAACTGTAAACCCTAAGCCATAAACCCTAAACCCGGTTCTTTTTGTTTTTCTGGGGGGGGGGGGGGGGGCCGGGTCTTGGAGCTTTAGGGAATGGAATTGTTCGCGTTGCTTGGGCTCTTGGGGTTTACAAGGTCTTTCCTGGCTTTGCAGGGCGTACAGGGCTTTAAAGCTGTTGTAGGGTTTAGAGGGTTTTAGGGTTTAGGGTTTAGGGGTTTATGGTTTCTGGGCCTCTCGGGTTTTGTTTACACAGCTTACAGGGTTTACCGGGTTTGGAGGGTTGACATGGTTTGGGTTTAGAGTCTGGGGTTGGGTTTAGAAATTACCTCTATCCCCAGTAATAATTAGTCCCTAAACCCTAAACCCTAAACCCTAAACCCCATGTAAGATACCCTACGAAACCCCTATACAAACACTCTAGGTGCCCAAAGACCCACTTTAGCACCAAGGGCACGGGGTCAGGTGCGCTTGAATTGAATGCTTTTCGGGGAGACATTCTGCACCTCACTGGTCTAGGGTTCAGGTACCCCATATACAAGATCAAACACCATGCTATGCTGAACATCGGCATAGAGGATTTGACCCTAAACCCTAAACCCTAAACCCTAAACCCTAAACCCTAAACCCTAAACCCTAATTTCCTGAGTCCCGAGACCCTCAACCAGCTGGACCCCGAAAAACCCCCCTTGTTTTTTCTGCAGTCGCCCAGGAGTAGACAAGGTACCCAGTAAAGAAAAGGTAGGAGATCCTACAATACCCCCTCTACTACCGTCACAACCCCTCACTACCCTCCTTCTCAAAATCAACGGGCTCCTTCAAAAAGCCTCAGTTGTTTTAGGGTTTAGGGTTTAGGTTTCAGGGTTTAGGGCGCTACTTCTGCTTAGGGTGTAGTTCTGGTGCTGATTGTCCAGGAGCCCATAGTTGAGACGGGATTAGGGTCTATGGTGCTTCGGATTTAGGAAGACCCGAAACCCAAACCCTGAAACCCTAAACCCGAAACCCTTAACTCAAAACACAACTCCAACTGGCCAGGTGACTCTCGCCCTCTGAGCGCTTGCCTCTGCTTGTCGAGGATTGGGTTTGAGACCCTAAACCCTAAACCCTGGCCCTAAACCCTAAACCCTAAACCGTTAAGGGTTTAGCGTTCAGGGTGCTTAGGATGATGTTCTATACTGGGGCCCCCTAAACTCCAGACCTTGGACCTGAGAGCAATCCGAAAACAATGAACACGAACGAACACTCCGAACTCCTCCACCGAAATAGACCACGAAAGGCCTATAGCCTTAGGCTCACCTATGACTGTTTTTTGCGCCCCCCCCCTAAACCCTAAACCCTAAACCCTAAACCCTAAACCCTAACCCCTAAACCCTAAACCCTAAATCCATCTCTTTGAGATTCCCTTTAAGGGCCTCTAGGGCTTAGGACTCTTCAGCCCCAAGCAGCCGATGTAGCACTTCGGCTTCCATCACGTTCTCTTGGTTCTGGCGGCGTTTTTGCGGCTCACGAGACTTCGGGTTGAGGGTGTTTAGGGTTTGGGGTTTGGGGTTTGGGGTTTGGGGCTTGGGGCTTAGGGGTTAGGGGTTAGGGGTTAGGGGTTAGGGGTTTGGGGTTAGGGGTTTGGGGTTTGGGGTTTGGGGTCTGGGGTTTGGGGTTGGGGCTTAGGCTTCGGGCGGAATTGAGAGGCTCCAAGGCTGTGAGGGGTCTCGTTCTTCAGGCTCCTTCAGGTTCCGTCTTTTGCGTTGGGCTATTTTGGGAAATACCGCTCGGGGTTTAGGGTTTAGGGTTTAGTTTCGGGTTTAGGGCGTCTCACATCCGGGGGCACCCCTAAAAAGTATATTCTTCGCATTCTTGGGGCAGATCTAGGGTGGCTCTTCATGGTTCCTATCAGGAGCTTCGGGAAGCTAGAGGTCTAGGGTTTCGGGCTTACGTGGAGGTTCAGGGTACTTATAACCCCAAGTATAGGGTTTAGGGTTTAGGGTTTAGGGTTTAGGGTATAGGGTTTAGGGTATAGGGTTTAGGGTTTAGGGTTTAGGGTTTAGGGCTACTTGGAGGTTCAGGGCACTTATTACCCCAATTATAACTGTACTTGCAAGCCCCCTTTAAGTCCCCTAAGCAGGTTAGAAGTAGACTCATTTTTCCTAGTGCAAGGCAACTGTCAGTTTGCCCATCAACCTTGGCAGTTTCAGGCCGATGCTACTTATCGAGGCTGCGCAAGAAAACGCTGCCAACTATTCCTATCTTGAGCTACAGGGTTCACTCGCCGAAAAATCAATGTGTTAGAAGTAGACTTATAGTTGTGGTTATAAGTACCCATGAACCTCCAAGTAGGGTTTAGGATTCAGGGTTTCTAGAGTCTCCAGGGCTAGCGGCAAGTGGTCCATTTGCTGTGCTCGCTGTTCGCCTTGAATCATAGGATGTCTGCAATCGGAGCTGCTCGCGTTCCTTGCTTACCTTACCGTGCCGTTTTTGTCGCGTGGGTTGCTGGAGGGTGCATGCCGTGAGATCCTACACTACCTACCCCCAAGGGTTTAGGGTTTAGGGTTTAGGGTCTGAATTCAAACTAAACCCCACAAGGCTCAGACAGCCCAAAGATCACGGGGGAAGGTGATGGAGAGGACCTGCGGGAGTCAGACTCATGCTCTGCCCTAAGGACTCCACACCGCCCTAGACCCGAAACCCTAAACCCTAAACCCTAAACTTACCTGAGCCCGGTCCTGGAGCAGTAGCGCGAGGTGCGACACCAAGGACAAGCAAGAGGGGTGCGCAGCTCCTGCGGAGCCAACCCCTAAACCGTAAACCGCAAACCCTAAACCCTAAACCCTAAACCCTACACCCTAAACCCTAAACCCTAAACCCTAAACCCTAAACCTGTGTGAGAAGGCACGACTGAAGGGATCCTGCGTACACGGAAGCCCAGGGTGCCTATGATCCCTGAACCTTCTGAGTCGCCGTTGATTGGGTTTAGGGTTTAGGGTTTAGGGTTTAGGGTTTAGGGTTTAGGGTTTAGGGTTTAGGGTTTAGGGTTTAGAGTTTAGGGTTTAGGGTTTAGGGTTTAGGGTTTAGGGTTTAGGGTTTAGGGTTTAGGGTTTACGGTTTAGGGCTTAGGGCTTAGTGCTTAGGGCTTAGCAAACCCAGCTCGCTTCGGCAAGAGCTTTCAAACACTAAGGGCACTGGTGCCCACCCCTGTGGTACTCCGTAGATCTCGAAGTCCCCCCCCCCCCACAGCCCCCCACAGGCCCCCAAAAAAGCTGGAGCCCTCTAAACCCTAAACCCTAAACCCTAAACCCTAAACCCTAAACCCTAAACCCTAATGTATCTCGAAATACCGCTGATAAGATGTTTTGATTGCATCCCCGAACCCTCAACTGTAAACCCCTGGTCTTTGAACTTCAAGCACGAAATTTCCACAAAGGTCCAGGCCTAGCTGTTCCTCGCAACGGCGGATGGCGCTGCGCGAGAACTCCTCGGGGGATGCCCTTTCCGGGGCTCTCTACTGCACAATGCAGCCTACAGTCCATGATTTTCATCAACCACCAGGGGGGCTTAGGACGTTCAGGTTGCCTTTTTCGGCTTAGATGCGCCTTTCTTTTTGTCGGTGACCTCGGGGCTTCCTGGGTAGCCGTCAGCCCCAAGCCGGAAAGCCCTCCACCCCAAAGCGCCAAACTCCTCAGGCGAAATCGCGAGGTCCCAAGACCAGCCCTCAACCCTCAACCCTCAACAACCCTCAACCCTAAACCCTCAACCCTAAACCCTAAACCCCAAACCCTAAACCCTAAACCAGCCCCCCGGGGGGGGATGAAGGTGTTAGGCTTCGTTGTTAGGGCCTCCGTTGGAGGAATGACCCGTCGTTAGGCACCGAAGAGGGTCTGCAGCCCTGCCAAGGATGGGGCTGTGGGGGTTTAGGGCGAGATATCCCTAAACCCTAAAACCCTAAAACCCTAAAACCCTAAAACCCTAAAACCCTAAAACCCTAAACCCTAAACCCTAAACCCTAAACCCCCTAAAGTGCTGGAGGCTTCCCACACCCACCACTCCTCGGCTCGCTCCAGCTTTCCTAGGGCCTGAAGCTTCGTGGCCAAGGTGGTGGTGATACCTGATCTATTTCGGGTTTCGGGTTTCGGGTTTAGGGTTTAGGGTTTCGAAACAGGGTTTAGGGTTTAGGGCTGAAATTTTAGAGCTTAGGGCCGGGTGCTCGTTTCAGGGGGGTGTTGTATGTGAGGGGTGCCTATAACCGTGTCATCTTCATAAGGAGTTCTGAGACTCTACAGCTGTCCATGTGGGGAGCTGATGGACTCAGAGCTTGATCCCTGTGGCTTTGGTTTCCTGAATGGAAAGGCATTGGTTTTGTACCATATGCCTCGACTTAGGACAAGGAGCCTATAAATCCAGCCGACAAGAATGGCATTAAGAGTCCTCGATCCCATAAGGCAGACAACACAAGTACGACTTTTGCGGAATCCAAGAAACAGCAGGGGCGTCAAAAGGTCAAGCCAGCAGGGGCAACAGGCCACGTCGATAAGGCAAAGGGGGGGTGTAAGGGCCCCATATATTCTCCAAATAAGGGCTTGTATAATCCCAAATAAGCCTTATGGAGCACCAACAAGGGAATATGGGGCCCTTACAACCCCTGCCCTTCCACCCCCTTGGTTCCCTATGATGTGATGATGCCAGTGTCATAGCAACAACCAAGCCAGACCTTAATAAGGAGTCCACAACCCCAAAGCTCTCAATCCCTAACCCTAAAGAACCCGAATACCCTAAACCCTGAAACCTACAGGACACGAATAACCCCAAAAAAACATTAAAGCACGCTAGAAAGCAAAACCAGCATGAAGCTCGGAGACCCAGAAACACCAACATCGTTTTGTCAAGGGACAAAGGAGGGACCCTTACAAGGGACCTTAGGGGTAATGCAGGGGCTGTAGGCACTACATAAGGTATATGAGAACCCTAAACCCGAAATCCAAAACCGTAAGCCCTAAACCCTAAACCCTGCACCCTGACCCTGAAACCGAAATCCTAAACCCTAAACCCGAAACCCGAAACCCGAAACCCTAAAGCCCTCAGTGTCTGGTCTCGGCCCGAGCAGCTCAGAGCCTTCGCAAGCTTGCCGATGCTCCGCAGGAAGGTGCTCAGGTCCTGCTGCTGGCGCTTTGAGGTAGAAGTGCCCTAAGAACATGAAGCGTATGTAGGGTTTAGGGTTTAGGGTTTAGGGTTTAGGGTTTAGGGTTTAGGGTTTAGGGTTTAGGGTTTAGGGTTTAGGGTTTAGGGTTTAGGGTTTGGGGTTTAGGGTTTAGTGTTTAGTGTTTAGGGTTATAGTTATAGGGTTTGAAGAGTTGCCTGTCTCCTCTGCAGGTGTGGGCCCCCGCAGATGTGGAGGCCAGCTAGGGCTGCTACAGTGGAGGAACATAGTAGACCTCTACTGACACAAAGTGACCATCATTATATATCAAAGAACGAGTGTGTGTACATATATGTATACATATATACACAGCTTAACTAAAGAATTAGCGATTTCATTAGTTAACTGAGTAACTAATTATTGCAGTGAGAAGCTAGTTCACTTCATTTCAGTGAGGTTCGGGTTGGGTTGAGGCGGGCTTTCGGGAGCTTGCCCCACAAGACAACAACCTCCAACACAAGCACTACATGAGCGATGCAACCCCGAAGGCTTCAATTGGCTGGTTTTTCAGTAGGGAATGAGGAAATGAGCTACCCTAAATCCCCCTATATAATACCCTTTTAAGGGATTCTATAGGGTACCTCATTCCCCCCATTCCCTACTAAGAAGCAGGGCGTCACAAAACCCTAAACCCTAAACCCTAAACCCTACAGCCTAAACCCCAAACCCTAAACCCTAAACCCGAAACCCTAAACCTCCCTGTGGCGGTCCAGGGCTGCGTTCAGCGTTGCCGGATGGGAGGCACCAAACTGGTCTTCTCCAGCCTCACGCCCCCCCAAGGTCTTCTAGGGCTTGGTAGCCTGGTAGCCCGGGACCCATATTGCAATAAGGGATTGAAGGTACAGGGTTTAGGGTTTACGATTTAGGGTTGTAGTGTTCAAGGTCTACGGAGGACAGCCCCCCCAAAAAAGCAACCTGAAACCCCCAGCCCCAAGCCCAAAACCTCCTGAAGTTTCTACAAACCCGAAACCCTAAACCCTAAACCCTAAACCCTAAGCCCTCAAATCAAACCACCAACCGACTTGAAGCCCTCTGAGCCCTCGAAGCCTCTGCCTTGGGATGTTCCCCCGTATACTAACAGCCCTTGAATGGGAGGTTTTTTTCCCCACCCACCCCCCCCCCCCCCCCCCCCCCACCCCAATGTTAATCCCTGTTAAGGACTATTCGTATAGGGGGGGAACATCCTAACCCTACACCCTAAACCCTAAACCCTAAACCCTAAACCCTAAACCCTAAACCCTAAACCCTAAACCCTAAACTTCAGATAGGGGGGAGCATCCTACAATCCGTATTAAGGACTGCTAGTAGAGGGGGGGGGGGGGCAACATGCGAACCTCTGCTCGAGGATGATCTTGGAAGTGTAGCCCCAAGTTCTTCCAACACAGCGTGCTTAGGGTTTAGGGTTTAGGGTTTAGGGTTTAGGGTTTAGGGTTTAGGGTTTAGGGTTTAGGGTTTAGGGTTTAGGGTACGTGGGCGCTGCAACAAACAATCTTCAAGCAAGGGGTATTCTAGCTAGCTCTTTTCCGGGTTGAGGGAAACATTTTCACCTTTTTGTTTGGGAGGTCCTATGTCAGAAGGAAGGCTCTTACAAGCGGTACACCCAAAAGCACCCTGGGCACCCTAAAGCCCCTAAACCCTAAACCCTAAACCCAAAACCCAAAACCCAAAACCCCAAACCCTAACCCTAAACCCTAAACCCACCATCGGGAACCGACGCTTTTCAGCCTGCAGAGCCCGGCGGAAGTAGTCCTCCGACTCGGTCAAGCGGCCCTGCTCCTGCATTAGGTCCCGGCTCGAGGCTTGCCTTTAGGGTTCGGACTTTCGGTTTGGCCCCTTTTATTGGGAAAATCTACCCTTTAAACCCTAAACCCTAAACCCTAAACCCGAAACCCTAAACCCTGTCAAGTAGTCTAGGGTCAGGTTCAAGGGATTTCCCGGAACCGGAATTCATGACGGAATGGATCTGCGAAGCCTGGAACTCATGACGACTCAGACCTTGGCTGCGCAGAGCAGCCCCCGTGAGTTTCAAAATTCAGAAGGCTTCTTCAGGGTGGGGCCCCCTAGTTATAAGTAGAGTTATAAGGGCCCCTAAATTGGGTTATAAGGACCCTAAGTTAGGTTATAAGTCCCTTAACTACAGTTAGTATAGTAAGGGGGCCCCACCCTGCAGTGCTGCAATTCCGCGATGGGTCCATGTACCCATCCAGTAGGCACACTTCGACCTCAACGGGAGTATACAGCAAATACTATAAAGGGGGGGGGGGGGGGGGAGTTTAGGGTTTCGGGTTTAGGGTTTCGGGAAATACCTGAGGGGGGTCCAGAATTCTACATCATGTACCTGGACCTGTAACATCTCTACGTACTAAAGCTCCCCCGTTGTCAACAGGCAACAGCAGCTATCGTCCGAACAGCAAGTATCGTCCGAAGTCTGAAGCCTGACAGCGCCTCCCCTATATATGTACATATACAGAACAAGATACTGATAATACTCATGGTGATTGCTAGCAAAAAAATGATGATGCTGATAACAAGAATAGCAATAACAACAATAATAATCATCATAGTAATCGAAAAGAATGCGCACAACTAAAGAACCATGACGAGAAAAATGTCATCATCACACCATCGTAACCATGACAGCAAATTCGACATCACAATCAGATGAGTGGTTTCGTCATCAAAACCAGAAGGAATAATTAAAGCTAATACCAAAGACAGCAAGTGGAGGGGTCATCCTCCTCATCATCATCATCATCATCACCATCAGCAGAATCAGCATACCCCTAACCCTAAACCCTAAACCCTAAACCCTAAACCCTAAACCCTAAACCCTAAACCCTAAGCCTAAACCCTAAACCCTAAACTCTACACCCTCAGAAGGGCCAGGACAAGTCCTGGGCGATCCGCGCCAGGCGCGTCACGGTGCTGATGGTGTCCGGATGCATGCAGCCCAACTGGTCCTGTCAGGCTGCTTGGAGATTCATTGAAACTTATATCCCCAATTAGGGTTTAGGGTTTAGGGTTTAGGTTTAGGGTTTAGGGTTTAGGGGTACTTATAACCACAATTATACATCCACTTGTAACCTACTTAGGGGACTTAGGGGGGCTGAAAAGTACAGTTTCAATTGGGGTTAGAAGTACCCTGAACCTCCAAGTGGTCCAGGGCCTTTTCATTCTGGAGGCAGGAATTCCTTGTATCTTAAGAAAACACTAAACCCTAAACCCTAAACCCTAAACGCTAAACCCTAAACCCCACAAACCCCATTTTCTGTTGCTCACTGGGGTTTAGAAGAGAACCGAAGCCAAGAACAGGGGAGGTGAGGGCTCACCGGGGTCCCATGGGGCCGAACCCACTTTGAGCTCCTGACAAAACTTCAGGGAAGCTTAGGGAGCCTTAGGGTTTAGGGTTTAGGGTTTAGGGTTCAGGGTTTAGGGTTCAGGGATTATATGCCCTCTTGAACCCCCTCCCTTAAGAAAGCCTGGCGCTGGTTCCTTGGGGCTTTTATGGCCTAACAAAGCGTAGGACTCGCTGATGTTGGGGTGTTAGGCCTTCTTTAAGGCCTTAGTTTTTTTATTTTTCTTTTAAGGGGGCTTTTGCATACTAGGGTTTTAGGATACCAGGGCTTTGGGGATCTTAGGCTACTGAGGGTTTTAGGGTTTGCTAAGCGGCTCAGAGGCTCTCTTCCCCCGTATTGTCTTGAAGGGTTCACCTGCTGCTAAGCCCTAAGCCCTCAGCCTTAAACCCTCAACCCTCAACCCTAAACCCTAAACCCTGAGCCCTAAGCCCTCAGCCTTAAACCCTCAGCCCTAAGCCCTACGTCAAGCGGAAGAGGGACTCCGAACCCTAGACCTCGAAATCGACACCAACCGAAAGTTCGCAACCTTTCAAGCAATAGAGCAAACTCTAGACAGCCCACAAGCCCCCCCCTCTTCCCCTCAAAACAAAACGGAACGAAACAAAAACACCACACAACACAAAAACACACACACACACACACACACACACACACTCACTCACTCACTCACTCACTCACTCACTCACACACACACTCACTCGCTCACACTCACTCAGTCACTCACTCACGCACGCACTCACTCACTCAACCACCCACCTCACTCACCTCTCTCACCTTGCGCAACTCAACTCAACCCAACTCAACTCAGATCAACCCAACTCAACTCAGATCAACTCAGATCAACTCACTCAACTCACTCTCTCTTTCACACACACGCACGCATTGACAAGAGAACAACAGAGGTCCTCGAGCCCGGACAGAGCTTGCCGCCAGCGCTCGGCTGCTTTGAAGACCTTCCCCCTCCTGGCACTGGTTGGCACACATCTACACGCACAGTGGTACAACCTTCAATGCCAAATAACGCCCAAACTTGATAGCAGCGGGGTCGCACTCGCAGTCCTTCGTCTTATGCTTCATATGTATGTATATCTAGATATATGTATAGAGGCATACATACATACATACGTACATACATACATACATACATACCTGCACGTATATACATTTATGCTCCGTCCATAATCCATATGAGGTCTCAGTTTACGGGGCGAAAAGAACTACACTTGGGGTTTACTTGCTGGTTCTCAGTAGGGAGATAGGCAATTTGGCAGTCTGCATAGCCCAAAGGAGCCGAGGCTCCTAATAGTTCCTGTATTCCCGACAAAGAAAGAACCAGTATAAACCCTAAACCCTAAACCCTAAACACTAAACCCTAAACCCTAAACGCTACTCCCCTTTTGGGCATTTAACTAGCGGCCTAAGCCTTGTGCAATCTTGTGCATGTGATCCCGTGGCCCCTGGAACCTGTGCAGGAGATCGCCGAGGTCGAGAAGTGCGTGTAGTGTCCATGGGTGCCTAAGCACAGGGAGCGGGGGGGGGGGGGGGGGGCTGTGTGTGCTTAGGGTGTAGGGTGTGGCGTTTCGGGTTTAGAGTCGGAATTAGGGTCCAAAGTTATGGGTTTTTGGCACAACTCACTGCATCCTGACCCAGACAACTCGTCTGGCTTTCCCGAAGCCCCGTACGACCCAAGCCGCCCTCCAAGCCCAACGTCATACTTGGAGGTTCATGGGTACTTATAACCACAATTCTAAGTCTACTCATAACCTACTTAGGGGACTTCGGGGGCTTGTAAGTACAGTTAGAATTGGGGGTTATTAGTACCCTGAACCTCCACGTAGTATGTCAAGGGGTGGACCCTTAAGGTTAGAACCTGGGATTTTTGAGGACCCTTTTTCAAGATCGGCCCTGTTAGGAGCATATTGAGCTTAGAAGCCCAGTCACCATGTTGTGATAAGGGCACCCTTTTTTTGGGCTGGTTACTTTAAAAGGGAACCCAGAACCAAAAACAAAAGTGTAAAAGGGTACCGCTGGGCTACCAAGTGAGGGAACCTTTAGGGGTACAATCTTCTGGGTACGAGTCCTAATTCCCTTGATATGGGGGGACCAAAAAGTTGCTAAGTTAACTATTCCGTACACTCCCAAGTGGAAACAAAACCTCAAACTCCACAACCGCAACACCGCAACATGCCGTAGAGCCTCTAAACCCTAAACTGCTTACTTGATTTGATGGGTTTGTTGACTCTATCCTAATCTAGCGCACAAAATACTCGAGACCCGAAACCCGATGCCCTCTGAATCACGCGCCAAGTCTCCAGGCGCCCCACCGCTTCTCACTGCCGCTCACTGCTCCAGTGTGAAGCTTCTCCTTGGCTGATAAGGGTTTAGGGGTTTACGGGTTATTAGGGGTTTAGGGGGCTTTGTGTTTAGGGGTTCAGGGGTGCACGGGTTTGGAGGTTAGGGTCCGGGGCTTAGGGCGTAGTAGGAGGGCTTGTTGTTCTTTTTCATGGTCCTATCATGTTATCGGCCTCTCATGGTGGGGCTACAGGCGTTAACGGCTGAGGTCTCCCCTCTGGAAAACAGGTTTGTGTTGGGGTTTAGGGTTTAGGGTCTAGGGCCTTGGCCCACAGATCTTCCCCCCTGAGCTGTGGCAAGGATAGGCTCACACCTCACCACATTGTGGTCTATTTTGAAGCGCCCCTGCAATGATACGACCCCGAAAATTCGGATGGCCAAGACAACGGCCCGTAATGTCGAGAACTGACATGAACTGACCATAACCCCTTGTTGGGGTTCTTGCGTCCCGGCCAGGTTCGCCAAACAAAAACACCCCCAGAAACAAAACCCAAAGCCCCAAACCCTAAACTCTACAACCGCCGAACCCTAAACCCTAAACCCTAAACCCTAAACCCTAAACCCTAAACCCTAAACCCTAAAACCCTAAACTCTAAACCCTAAACCCTAAACCCCAAGTAACAACCCCCCCCCCCCCACCCCCCCCCCCCCCCACCCCCCCCCCCCCCCCCCCCCCCCCCCCCCCCCCCCCCCCCCCCAAAAAAAAAAAAAAAAAAAAAAAAGTTCTTTAGGCCAAGCATCCGCTTCCATCAGCTCCCCAAGGTCCTGAGCCAGGGTGTCCCCCTCATTTGGGGGGGGGGGGGGGGGGGGGGGGTCCGAAAACAGGGGGGTTTAGGGTTTAGGGTTTAGGGTTTAGGGTTTAGGGTTTAGGGTTTAGGGTACCCTTTTTTTGTGGATCCCTTTAAGGGGATTCTAAGGGGATTCTATTCCATTTGGGGTAGAAAAGGGGTGCAAGTCTTTTGGGAAATGCCCAGCTGCTTTTGGGTGTTTGAGTGCAGGTTGAGGGGTTGAGGGAAGGTTGAGGGTTTAGGGTTTTAGGGTTTTAGGGTTTAGGGTTTAGGGTTTAGGGTTTAGGGTTTAGGGTTTAGGGTTTAGGGTTTAGGGTTTAGGGTTTAGGGTTTCGGGCTGGGTTCGGGGTTTAGGGTTTAGGGTCCAGGGTTGTGGGTGGAATACGATTTGGGTGTGCACCAGGATGCTGTCATTTAACGCTTGCTGCGATTCTTCGAAGCACTGAAGCGCTAGTAACCCAGGACCCTATAGGAAAAAACACCCCTGAAAACCCCTAAAGCCCCCCAAACAGGCTGGTCCTTGGTAGGGAATGAGGGAATGAGGTACCCGGCATAATCCCTGAAAGGGTATATGCAGGGCGCTAATCCCCAGGGGGGCAATGAAAACAAACTCCCGTAGCCCTAAAACGCCCACACACGCCCTAAAACCCTGCAGCCCCCAAACCCCAAATTCCCCAAACTCCAAGTCCTACACTTTGGCGACTCCAGACGTAGGCTTCGGTGCTACAGGGGTTTAGGGTCTCGGGTATTTGGAGCTTGTGAGGGTGCTGGCTTCAGTTCCTATCTTCGCCCTGCAATTCAGGAATATTGACGGGAGTTTTTTTCTTTGCTTTTTGGGGTTGGTATTCTACTAGACCCAAGAGTAACCTAGGAATCAAAAGGGTGCCCTTTTTGGTTTAAAGGGGCTTACAAGGGTACCTAAGCCCTCAAAAAAAGGGGAATAAGGGCCTACTCCGGGTCCTAGTATTTTAAAGGAAACCCAAGAAATAAATCCCTCAGACATGAGAAAGGGTGCAACTGTGGGTCATCGGCTTCGTACTCATACCTGAGCCCAAGTACGCCCTTAGCCCTAACCCTAAAACCTAAAGTCCGGAAGTCAGTCAGCCTGGAACATTTCTCCGACCCTTCCCTCATCAAACCCAAAACCCGAAGCCCTCATGTGTGGAAAATCTCGCCCCTAAACCCTAAACCCTAAACCCTAAACCCTAAACCCTAAACCCTAAACCCTAAACCCTAAACCCTAAACCCTAAACCCTAAACCCTAAACCCTAAACCCTAAACCCTAAACCTAACCCTAAACCCTAAACCCTAAACCCTAAACCCTAAACCCTAAACCCTAAACCCTAAACCCTAAACCCTAAACCCTAAACCCTAAACCCTAAACCCTAAACCCACCCAGGGCCTTGAGCAGGCTGGAGACGTGCCGAAGCGATTCTTGAGTGTCCTTTGAATCTTGAGGCGCCAATCGCTTCTCTCCCCCCCCCCCGGCTCTCCCTCTTGGGGTTTCGGGTTTATATAGGGTTTGGGGTGCAAAGAACCCTTAACCCTAAACCCGAAACCCTACTTGGAATATGTAATTTATTGGGGGGGGGGGGGTGGGGTGGGGAGGGGCAGGAATACAATCACGGCGCGGGGTTCTGCAGCCTTGACATCATGAAGCTTAGTGACCCAGTGGCTGATAGGTGTACTAGACCCAGGAGTAACCTAGGAATCAAACGGGTGCCCGTTTTGTTTAAAAAAGGGGGGGTCGTAAGGAAAACCCAAACCCTAAAACACGGGAATAAGGGCCTACTCTGGGTCAGCTTTAAGCACTGGCAGGAGCCTTGCGGCATGTCAGTCTAACCCTGAAAACGTAAACCAAACTGCGATTTGAAGAAGGACTACCTGCTAGACCGTAGGGACATCATGACAAGGGTTCACAGGCAGAGGCAATCTTGGGAACTCGTGCTTGGGCTTCTTTCTCAGTTTACCCCAAGACACGGCACCGGGCTTTCGGATAGGTTTCAGAACTTTTGATGACTTGCTGTTGATGCTGAACACTGTCCCAGACACGAAAACGACCTAAGCCCCGCGTGCTTCTGGTCTGGATCTCCCATCTTGAGCCAGCAAATTCGATGGCTAGTCGCTACGCCTAGCACCTAAAAGCCTCAAAACCAGAAACCGCAACACGAAACAGGGCTGAAACCCTAAATGCTGACGACTTATACGTTGACTTATACTTCGTAGGCATGAACGCACATGGTTCGGTCCTTGCCGATCCTCCTAGTGTCTGCGGCATACAAAGCAATGGTTCCAACCGGTCTCCCATGGATGTATCCTCGCACCGCCTGGCCCCGCCAGGGTACGGACACCAGCGTCAGGTCAGCCAAAGGCTTGCCCTTCACGCGCCGGTAGACTTTCTCAGGCCACAAAATGCCTAAACCCTAAACCCTAAACCCTAAACCCTAAACCCTAAACCCTAAACCCTAAACCCTGAACCCTAAACCCTAAACCCTAAAGAAGCATTTCCATGCGGGTGGAGGTCGTCTGCCCTGCGCACAGTGCCTCAGGATCGGTACTTCGACCATTCTTCTGCACCCTGTACACCCTACAGCCCCCCTACTCTACTGCAGCTTCAACCATAAAGCCGGCAGACTAAGCCCTGTAGCAAGAAAGCGGTTCAAACCCTAACCCTAACCCTAAACCCCAAACCCTAAACCCTAAAGCGCAAAACCCTAAACCCTAAACCCTAAACCCTAAACCCTAAACCCTAAACCCTAAACCCTAAAGCGCAAAACCCCAAACCCTAGACCCTAAACCCCAAACCCCAAGCTATACCTGCTGCCGGGTGTCGGGGTGGGCAGGGCCCAACAGTTCCTCGCGGCCTGTCGTTTAGGGATTAGGGCTTACGGTTTAGGGCGAGTGGGCGGGGGCACGGGGGGGGGGGGGGGGGGGGTCTCTCAGGGGTCTCGAGTTTTAGGGTTTAGGGTTCGGGTTTAGGGATACCACAATAGCTACGACAGGGTTTTTCGGGCTTTTAGGGCTTAGGGTCGGGGAACCCAAGTATACCGCAATAGCCACTGTAGGGTTTAGGGTTAGGGCTTTGAGGGGCTCAATTTTCAAGATCTTGAACCTTTCTAAGAAGGCATGAGGCTGCTCTTGATAGCACATCAACGTGGACGACCCTAAACCCTAAACCCTAACCCCTAAACCCTAAACCCTAAACCCGAAGATACGTTCGAGGGGTTTGGGCCTGGGGGCGTGGAGTAGGTGGCCGTTCTCCTGGAAACCTAAACCCCAGGCCCTAACCCTGACCGCAAAATGCCAAAGGCCCCAAAGCATGTTTTTTTTGGCAGATATCCGAAAGTCTACCCGGATTCTTCAGGTTTTGGGGCAGAACCTGCAACTCTTACCTAGGTCCAATACCCTCTGCCTAGGCCCATGCTTCTGAGCTTCAAACCTTGAACTCTGAACCCGAAACCCTAAACCCTAAACCCTATACACCCTAAACCCTAAACCCACCTCGAAAGGCTTTCTTTAGCAGCTCTTCTGCTTCCAAGAGATCGCCGTTGCGGTGTAGCAACATGCCTAGGCGTGGAGTTGGCTATATATATATATATATATACATGTATGTAGAGGGACTACTTCAACTTCTTCCTACTTCCTACTATTTACTTAAGAACCCCCCAAAGAATGAGAATTACTCCTGCTTATAAGGGTAATACAGGGATTATGATTTTGTGGGGAGGTTCTTAAGCAAATAATTGCTTAGGGTAGCCTTCAAGACACCATTGATCCCGGATTCCTTCTAAGAACCCCAAGAAAGGGCGGGTAAGAGCACGTTGGGGTGGACGGGCAACAAGATTCATTGTCTAGTCCGAGACTCCGAGATCTTGATCTGACCAGGAAGGATCCTATACAATCACTAGGAACAGGAATACTTGAAGGCAAACGTTTATGGGGATTCAAGGATGGTGCTGTTCAATGTGAGATTAAAGTCATTGCTTTCGGCTGAGAGTCGGATCGAAAGGTTTGAATCGTTTCTATACTCCCCTTAGAGCCCCCTTTGCGTCTATGAAGTCCTCTCTCTCCTGCAGACCCGGGCCGTAACACCCTGCAACCTCGACATCTCAAACCGCCCGAGCCTGAAAGTGCGAACACGAGAGCCCTCAATCCTGCGGCCCCGACTCACAGCTGTAAAGCTATGACGGAGTCGGTTTTGTCTCTAGCGGTTATAAGGTTGAGGGTTTGCAGCGGCTTGTAGGGACGACCCTCTTCATTTTAGGCGTCAGGGGCGTGAGTGTCAAGGGCTTCAGGCTTGAAGTCCCCAACTCGGGTGCCAACGACGATGTCTGAGGCGGGCCCCCGTTCCCTTCCAGCTCCGCTTGCGCAGGAGAAGTTGAGAAGTTCTCAAGGGGGTTGGTTTAGGGGTTTAGGGTTTAGGGTTTAGGGTTCAGGGTTTAGGGTTTAGGGTTTAGGGTTTAGGCTTTAGGGTTTAGGGTGTAGGGATCTTACGGGGGGGGGGGGGGGGGGGGGGGGGGCCTGAATCCCTAAGCGCCCTCCTTGCTTTCAGGGCCCGAGGCCCAAGCCAAAGCCGTCTGTGTACGCGAGCGTGTCGGGGTGCGCTGCGCCCAGCCTGGGTCTGACGTTTATGGGGATTGGGTTGGGACTCATTGGGCCAAGGACACAGGGTACCCTAAACCCTACAACCCCTACACCCTAAACCCTGAACCCTGAGCCCTAAACCCTAAACCCGAAACCCTAAACCCTAACCCTAAACCCTTAACCCTAAGCCACCAAAAAGGAACCTCCAGATACAGGAGTCCGATAAGCTTCCGAAGCAGTCCCTCAACGTCTGCAGAGATACGTTCAAGAAGCAGAGCTCAAAGCCAGGAACCTAGGAATAACAAGAAGGGACCCCAAACCTTAAAACCCAAAAGCTCCAAAGCCCCAAACGCAAAACCCTACTTTGTCAAAAAGAAGCTTCTACAAGGGATCTTAAACCGATGGCAAGGGAAGAAGGGTACCACTGGTCAAACATCCCAGGGCCTGGGACGACCTAAGCCGTAAACCCCGAAAGCCCTAAAGGGTTTAAAGTTAAGGGGTCAGGGTGTAGGGTTTGGGGTTTCGGGTGTAATTAGGGTTCAGGGTTTTCGGGTTTAGGGATTCAGGTGCAGTGTTTAGTGTTTCTTTTGGGTTTAGGGGCTATAGGGACCAGGGCTTTATAGGGCTCAGTGTTTGTAGGGTACGTACAGGGTTTAGGATTAAAGGTTCTTGAGCTCCCCAGCTTCTTGCGGGCGTCGCGAACGAGACGGCGATAGGACTTCTTGGACTGGCAAGGGAGGCCGGCTCACCCCTGAACCCCAAACCCTAAGCGGGAAATTTTATAAACCCTAAAACCCTAAAACCCGAAAAAACCCGAAGACCCTAAAACCCTAAACCCCTAAAACCCTAAACCCCTAAAACCCTAAACCCCTAAACCCTAAAACCCTAAACCCCTAGAATCTTAAGCCTCAACAAGCCCTAATCCTTTGACTTGAGTAGCCCAGTAAACATATCATGGTGAGGTTTCGGGCCTCAGGTTTAGGGTTCAAAACCCTAAACCCTAAACCCTAAACCCTAAACCCTAAACCCTAACCCTAAACCCTAAACCCTAAACCCTAAACCCTAAACCCTAAACCCTAAACCCTAAACCCTAAACCCTAAACCCTAAACCCTAAACCCTAAACCTGGGGTGATGTTGGATCCCAGAGTCGCTATTAGATAGGGATCAAAGTCATCAGGAACTGGCATACGCCCATGTCCCCGTTCGATCCTGAGTCCGATTAAGCTTGAGGCCGGAGGTTTTTTCTCAGCTTTCATGCAAGGAAGCTAATACGTAGGGGGTGGGGGGGTGTTGTTCTTCTCTTTCTTTTTGTGGCTTCGCTTTCTTCTAATACGGAGTCCCTAACAGTTGAACAAATCATAAACCGCTCTCCCAGGCCCTTTGAACCCTAAACCCTTTTAAGCCCTTGAAAACACTTCCAAACCTCCAAACTCGTTTAAGGCCTTAAACCCTTCAACCCTTGAACCCTCAAACCCTTAAACCCCTACACCCAAAGCCTCTTCGAGCTCCCCCTTCGCGTGGAGCAACTTTGCCCAGGCATCTACGGCGCCGAGAGTCCTGTGCGCTCTCCCTTTTCTGCTCTACAGAGGGTTTAAAATAACCCTTGGGCTTTTGGTATTATTCCTGTGACTTCTGATTAAACCTTACAGAAATGTAGCTTCCAAACCGTCTAAGTACAGGGCATAAGCCCCCCCTAAAAAAGTGTGTACATGGCGCCCTACCTAGGTAGGGTGCATGGGTCCGTTTTAAGGTACCCGAAATTTCGGTCGGCGCAGGGGAGGGGACATTTGATGTCGGTCAGCTCAGTGGGTCTATGGAGATGAGCCGGGCGACGTGCAACTCCTGAACCCGCATGTCTTTAGGGTTTAGGGTTCGGGGTTTCGGGTTTAGACTTCAAGGTTTGAGGCTTTGGGGATTTAGGGTTTAGAGTTTGGAAGTTTGTCAGTTAAAGGGTTTTAGGGTCTTTTGGGGCTTCCAAAGTTTCAGGGTCTGTCCAGGGCAACACGCACAGGAAGCACAAGGTTGGCATGATTCGGCGCCAAGTACGGCCCAAGGCCGCCTTCAAGGAACCCTAGCCCTAAACCCTAAACCCTAAACCCTAAACCCTAAACCCTAAACCCTAAACCCTAAACCCTAAACCCTAAACCCTAAACCCTAAACCCTAAACCCTAAGCATCCCCAAGGTGCCTCAACAAACAAAAGTACCGAGTTTGGCCCTTACCGAGGGTGAGGGTTCGGTTGGGCATCCCGACTGGTACTAAACCCCAAGCCCTAAACCCTAAACCCTAAGCCCTAAACCCTAAACCCTAAACCCTAAGCCCTAAACCCTAAGCCCTAAACCCTAAGCCCTAAACCCTAAACCCTAAACCCTAAACCCTAAACCCTAAACCCTAAACCCTAAACCCTAAACCCTAACCCTAAGCCCTAAACCCTAAACCCAAAACCCTAAACCCTAAACGGCGGGCCCAGTCCTGGGATGCACTGGCCCAAGTTGCTGCTCGTAGCCTTCCAGCACCTCGCGCAGGGCCACCTCCGCCTTGTCAGGTTTAGGGTTTAGGGTTTAGGGTTTAGGGTTTAGGTTTCTAAGGTTTGTGCTTGATTCCGTTCAGATCTTAAGGCTTAAGTCATCGGTTGCTGAGGGTCTGCCCAGGCATGTTTATTTGCATCTAAAGCCCAACCCTAAACCTAAACCCTAAACCCTAAACCCTAATTACACCCTAAACCCTAACCCTATACCCTAAACCCAAACCTTTAAAGAGCTCCGGGTCACGACACCGAACTCCTGTGAGCCCTCAAGAACCACAGCTGAGAAGCTTCTAGCCCCTAACTCCCAAACTCACTTTTAGCTCAAGGGCTTCCGCATGATTCCGTATGCATTCTGCCTCCACTTCCCTTCTATCACCCACTTTAGTGACGTTGGTGGCTCAGGGTCCAGTACCCTAGGCTTAAGAAGGGTACCCTTTTTGCTTAAAGGGGTTTGTAAGGGAACCTAAACCCCCCAAAAAGGGAATAAGGGTACTACTGGGCATCCTAGTGGTGGCTCAGGGTCCAGAACCCTTGCCTCAAAGAGCATCCCACGGCTGCGCAGAGATGCGCCGAGCCTTGCACATCGAGCCAATGCTGTCAAGAAGAGTATGGAAGGATGTAGGGTCTCGGGCTCAGGTTTTTTGGGCTTAAATTTATATATATATATATATATACACCAAATAACTAAATAAATCTATCTATCTATATATATATATATATATGTGTGTGTGTGTGTGTGTGTGAAGTGTATGTGTGAAGTGTATGCGTGTCCTGCGTATAGAAGGTGGGATGCAGGGTCGGAGGCATGTCTGCTATCACTCACGCATGTGCATATCATATGCATGTATACAGGTGTGCGTAAACATGCCCGTCTGTGTGCATACGTGCATATACATGTACATGTAAGAACCTGTACATATACATACACATGCACTTACTTATTGCTATAAACATACATGTATAGTTGAATCAGGTATATATATATACACACATATGAAGCTCGAGGCACGTGCACACACACACAACCATCACACAACCATCGCACGCAACCATCACACAACATTCACAAAACTATCACACAACCATCCCAAGAAACACACACACACACACACAGAGACACACAAGACACACAAGCACAGCGGAGCAGCGCAGAGAGGCAGCGCAGCACAAGACGACGCGACGCACGGAGGCATGCATTTTGTTTACAGGTGCATTATATACGCTGATGCGTGACATGTGTGCCACTGTGTAGAAGGAGTGCATGAACTGAACATCAAAAACATTCCCATAGTCTGATCTTGCCAAGGTCGCCCACCCTCCCAGCTTACCCCTCCCTCACCCTAAACCCTAAACCCTAAACCCTAAACCCTAAACCCTAAACCCTAAACCCTAAACCCTAAACCCTAAACCCTAAACCCTAAACCCTAACCTAAACCCTAAACCCTAAACCCTAAACCCTAAACCCTAAACCCTAAACCCTAAACCCTAAACCCTAAACCCTAAACCCTAAACCCTAAACCCTAAACCCTAAACCCCTCACCTCCCCCTTCGGGCCTAGCCCTGGCCAGGAGGGTTGTCAAATGCCGCTCGCCCTTTCCTTGGGCTTCCGGGGGCTTCACTACTCCCTAAACCCCCATGACACCACGACCCCTCAACCCTCCCCAACAATAAACCCTAAAACCTAAGCCCTAAACCCTAAACCCCAAGCCCTAAACCCTAAACCCTAAACTCCAAACTCCTGCGCGTGGAACACTTGGCTTCGGCATCGGATGCAAGGGTTTAATCTGGGCCCTGAGCTCCCTAGCTGAGCCCAGACCCGGGAGGAACCTAGGAACTTAAAGGGTTTAGGGTTTAGGGTTTAGGGTTTAGGGTTTAGGGTTTTGGTGTTAAGGGGATTATAAGGGAAACCCCAACCCCTAAAAAAAGGACAAAAGGGCCTACTCCCGGCCCTCGGAGAAGCTTCCAGTGCGACTAGGGTTTAAGGGGTTTAAGGGCTTAAGGGTTTGAGGGTTTAAGTTTAAGGGTTTAAGGGGTTTAAGGGCTTAAGGGCTTGAGGGTTTAAGTTTAAGGGTTTAAGGGTTTAAAGTGCCAGAAGCAGCAGGCATACAAAGGGGGCCGGATTCCCCCTTCCGCGCTGTGGCGAAACCCGAAAACTCGAAACTCCTCAACGTCAACCCTAAGAGCCCTAGTGATAGACCCTACCTGGCACTCGAAACCAACAATTAAAAAACAATCACCGTGAGTTAGAAGGCATGACCCATAAAACTGTAGTATAAACCCGCATGAAACCCTGAATCCTGCACACCCCTGCCCTGTCCGGCTCGTTCGAAACGTTTCCAACATCCTGCCACAAGCCGCGACGCCCGGAACCCATTCGCATAGTATCTTTCGATATAGACGCTCATGTGCAACGTTTGAGGGTTCAAGGCTTTGGGCTTTAGGACTTTAGGGCTGAAGGGTGAAGGATTTGGGGCATAGACCCTAAACCCTAGCCCTAAACCCTAAACCCTAAACCCTAAACCCTAAGCCCTAAACCCTAAACCCTAAACCCTATGCAGGGCACTGGCACGCCGAGACTCGCTTTGCGATGGCGCGCGCACGCAGCTGCAGCCTTCTTGGGGTTTTGGGGTATCACGCTTGGAGCAATCCTAAGAAGCCCAAACCTACTTGTTTGTAGGGTTCCGAAGAATCCTATAACTAGGCTGCCCAGTACCCTAGGCTTAAAAAGGGTACCCTTTTTTGCTTAAAGGGGTTTATAAGGGAACCTAAACCCCCCAAAAAGGGAATAAGGGCACTACTGGGCATCCTAGATAAGGGAACTCCTACTAAGGACGTACAAACAAGTGGGTTTGGGGCTCTTCAGGAAGTGATGACAAAATCTAGGTTGCCCCTTGAAAAAAGTCGAGGACAGTTCCAAACAACATCCTTCCAAACCCAAAAAGGGATTCTGCATGCTGTGCCAAGATCTTGTGTTCGTTGGATCCTACGTTTCGGCTGAGGGTTTCGGATGCTGAGTTCATGAGGGGCATTTGGGGTTTAGTGACCTCTAGCACCCTACTTCACTGAACGGGGTCGCGCTGCTCCGCAATATTGCAGTCAAGCCGCGTATCTAGCAGACGTGCCAGGGCTATTCGCACAGCCTCATCGCCATCCGCAAACTGGATGACGACCTTACATGGCTAGCTTTCTGCTTGTGGGCCCCACATGCCATGGATGGGATTTAGAAACTACTTATTTTGGGAGTTTGCGAAAATCAGAAACCCCTAATATAAACCTCGGCAGGAGATGCCCTGACAATAAGAATCCCAATAAGCCCTAAACCCTAAACCCTGATACCCCTGATGTCGGAAACCCCCCCCCCCCCCCTTGAACTCCACTTCGAACTCAACAAGGGTTTAGGGTCCCATTTAGGGTTTAGGGTTTAGGGTTTAGGGTTTACAGTGAACAAAGCGTTGGAACATCCACCACACCCCAAAAGGTATACTAAAGGGAATCCCAGCTCTAATCATCCTTAAACCATGTTCCAACTTTCTGGACTTTGCTGTAGGCTCGATAGGGTTGAGGGTTTAGGGTGCAAAGTGCCATTGAGTATGCCGTGTTGGCCAGGCAGACTCCGAACCCCTGAGGGTCCATTCACGTATTCTGATATACTTGGGCCCAAGAGTCCCTATATAGGAGGTACTTTAAGGCCAAGTATTTAGGTACATGGACCCTTGCAAAACCACCAGAGCCCTTCACCCCGAAACCCCACACCCCGAATTTCCCAATCAGATCAAAAGCCCGCCGCAACCCGAAGGTCTGTGTGAAGATACCATCTGAAATCCTGAGCTTTATGTAGAACCTGTATCAGCATGCCCCGCACCCCGAGCTTAACACCCTATAACCCTCAACCCTAAGCCGGAATCTGTTCGGCCAGCTTGCACAGGTCCGCGGGACGGTGCCAGGCTTGTTCAACGAAACACCCCTGAGATTCCTCCGAAGCAGCTACTTCCGAAGGGCCCAAGCGTATAGATTGGGGGGGGCAAGCTTAAGCTTGGGATGACCTGGACGTGAACCCTCCACCCTGTAGCCAAGCCCTACTTGGAGGTTCAGGATCCTTATAACCCCAATTAAACCTGTACTTAAAAGCCCCCTGAGTCCCCCAAGTAGGTAGTAAGTAGACTTATACTTATAATCGTGGTGTTAAGTGCCCATGAACCTCCAAGTACAAGCACCACTTGCCGCCAACCCCCCCCCCCCCCCCACCGATTCTGCGGGTCTTCTAGCGCTAGTTTTCGCGAGGCTCTCCCGAGGTGCCTGTACCAGCTATAAACCTGCTAGACCCTGTAGGGCCATATAAACCGTGCAAGCCCAGAGAAGCCCTTGCAAGCCCCACAAACCTCTGCCAAGCCCACCCCATATTGTTCTAGATACCCCTTGTTACCCAAAACCCTAAACCCTAAACCCAAAACCCTGTACCCTAAAATGAAAATGCCTCGAAACCCGATATGTAGTACCCTTAGTAACCCTATCTAGGCCCTAAAGCTATACACATCTTCGACTCAATGGTTCTGCTTGGGGCTTTCCAGCCAAAGATTGTGGGCTCTTAGTTTGAAATCTAGGGTTTAGAGGTTTCGGAGGCCTGAACTTAGGTTCTTAGTTTGAAATAAGAGGCTTGGCGTTTTGGGATTTCGGAGTTTAGGTGGCTTTTTGCGAGGTTTAGGGAAGCCCTGACTAGGTAAGCCCTCCAAACCCCAAACACTGAGCCCAAAGTCTGAAATGGCTTAGGGTTCAGTGCTTAGGGCTTTGGGGATCTGGATGCAAACTCCTCTAACTCCTCACCAACATGCGCAATCCTGAAGTGCAACCACCCTCAGGTCGAAACTTAAACCTCTCGCCATCCCACCCAAGTCTCCCCCCCCCCTCCGGCGCTCCTTCCAGGGGCTCTGCCCGCCTGCTGATGGTGAAATCTTTCTGCAGTTTGGGGCTCTTGAGGTTTCGGATTGAGGGGGCGTGCGGTAGTTTATGAGAGATTTCAAGTTTAGATCCAGAAGCCCTAAACCCTAAACCCTAAACCCTAAACCCTAAACCCTAAGCCTGAAATTAAGATGCAGGGCTATTTTTGGGGGAAGCTCTCCAGGAAAAAGAGGGAGGGCAGGCCTCCCCTCTCAAGGAGCCTCAAGCATCCCATCCAAGCTCCCAAAGACCTAAACCCTAAACCCTAAACCCTAAACCCTAAACCCTAAACCCTAAACCGGTCAACCTTGGGGATTCTAGAGGCATTATGCTACCCCAAAAAGGTTAAAGGTTATCTACTCTACTCTACTACTCAGGCTTAGGGTCAAGGTTTAGAGCTTAGTATCAGGGTCTCGGGGCACTGAAGATCAGTAGTCTGCAGCCCTAAACCCTCAACCCACATTCACTTCCTTCCTCTTGGACATGTCTTTCTTGAAGCCTCTCCTTGCATTGTATGCAATTTTGCTTGTAAAGTCGAAAACGGAACCCTAAACCCTAAACCGGAAACAGCTGTAAACCCTAAACCCTTCCTTTGAGCACGCCTGGAGGAAAGCACACCTTTGTGCAGGGCGAAAAATTTAAGGTCATAGGTCTAGGGTTCAGGGCTTAGGGCTGGGACTTCTAGGGTTTAGGGTTTTGGGCTTGGGCCTGTCCAGTTGTTTGCTTTAGGATTTACCTCTTAGTGCTTCCTAAACCCTAAACCCTAAACCCTAAACCCTACACCCTACACCCTACACCCTACACCCTAAACTAAACCCTAAACCCTAAACCCTAAACCCTAAACCCTAAACCCTAAACCCTAAACCCTAAACCCTAAACCCTAAACCCTAAACCCTAAACCCTAAACCCTAACCCTAAACCCTAAACCCTAGAGCACGACAGTCTGACTCCCCTGCTGGGCCTTCTTCATCTCGGGCGTCTGGACTTTGGACCTGAGCTCCGCAGTCCTCCCCCTCACCCCCTTTTGGAGATTTAGGGTTTAGGGTTTAGGGTTTAGGGTTTAGGGTTTAGGGTTTAGGGTTTAGGGCTGAAGGCTTAGGGGGTTTGGATACAAGCTTCCTCTCTGAGTGAGGTCCTTCGGAAGAGGGGCCCCTAAACCCTTTACCCAAACCCTAAACCCTAGGCCCTAAACCCCACCTTGAAGGAACTGCAACACCAGGGGCGAAGCCATAGACTACACAGGGCGAACTGGCGGTGACTTTCGGAGCTACGAGATGGCCCGGAGGTTTGGGTGTTCAGGATTTGGGGTATTGAGGGTTTAGGGTTTGGGGTTTGGGGTTCGGGGTCTAGGGTTAGGGTTTGGGGTTTAGGGGTTTAGGGGTTTAGAGGTTAGGGTTTAGGGTTTAGGGTTTCGGGTTTAGGGTTTAGCGTTTCGGGTAGTTGGGGTGAAAGGCTGCGGGAGCTTCCGATGTACTGATCTTGGACGTCTGCACCTGCAGAGCACTATGATTCAATATATATAAATATGTATACACACACACACATATATATATATATATACATACATTCATATATTAATACATGTGTTCTATATTCTAGCTTTACATCAGCGGTGAAAAGTATAAGATAAGCATGCAGTACATATTATTAAATATTGCAGCGTACAACATATAATGTGTAACATATAAGTATACATACATACATGCATACATACATACATACGTACGTACATACATACATACATACAACATGACATAACATACGACAAGCCCTAACCCTTCAACCTAAACCCAATTTAATGCAGGTTTGAAGCTCTTGCCCACCCCCCACAATTTCGGGGGCCTTGGAGCTTAGGACTCCTCAGGAACATGCAAACGAGGAAACCTGACCCTTGAAGCAATCTAGTAGCCCTAAACCCTGAAACCCTAAAATCCTGGCTTTAGGGTTTAGGGCTGAGGGTAAACCCTGAATCCAGGACCCCTGAGCCCAAAAAATAGCTCCCCAAGCCAGGCCGGGCAGCACATCGTAGGTGTTTGCAGGAGCCACCAGAATGGGAATGCAACACGAGACTCGATGAGGATAGGCCTGGCTGTCTTGGTAGCCCAAAACCCTAAACCCTTCACCCTAAACCCTAAACCCTGAACCCGAACCCTGAACCCTGAACCCTAAACCCTAAACCCTAAACCCTAAACCCTAAACCCTAAACCCTAAACCCTAAACCCTAACCCAGGAACCATCTTGTAATAAGGGCACCCTTCTTTTGGGGTTGGTTCGTTGCAGGGAAAAGGGTACCACTGGGCTACCAAGCTGTTCGACTGAATTCGACTGGATTCGACTGGGCTTGTCGGGCAATTCTGAACATCGTTTGCGCGAAGCCTCGCCTCTTTTCCTTCGTAACGACAACAAAAAACAAAAACCAAAACTCTAAAATCGTCAGCACGAGATGGCCTCAGGCTCCGAACCCGAAACTTTCCCGAAACCTGAATTACACCCGTCCCCATGGTTCACAGACTGGGGCGAGATGTAGAGTTCTCTAAATTAAAAGACCTTCCCATGACATCCGCAGAACGTGAGGCCCCCTCCCTTCCTCCCCCTTCCTCCTCCCCCTTCCTCCCCCTTCCTCCCCCTCTTCCTCCATCCAATACACCCCGAGATGCCATCACAACATGTTCGTAAGCCCCATCTGGCAAAACCCCCATTGTGGGGATGCCCAAGTGAAGGTTCCTGGACCCCTTGAAGAGAATTGTTTCATAGAATGGCTACTTACGGCTCACTGCCTGCCTAAAGCCTAGAATCCTGTCAGGGTTTAGGGCGCCGGGAGTCTTGAAACTTCCTCCCGAAAACATCGCGAAGGGACAAGCAATTCAAGGTCTTAAGCTCTTTGTCGGAATTAGGGATAATTGGAGGGACCCGAATCTTGAAAATAGCGCCACGGATGTGGCCTTCTTGACGTAGTCTTCACCCTTCTCGTCGTTGTTCTGGTCTTTCTTCATGAGGTTGCGGAAATTGTTGTCCAGCAGTTCTGCTCGATCCTCTCACCCGCATGCTGGGTTCCTAGAGAGCCCAATCCCTCTTATGTAAAGAATCGACCTTAAATTATATAGGGATCCTTGCTACGACTTAAGGAATTTAAGGTACGTACTATTTCAGGAATATACCTTAAGTTATGTAGGGATCCTTAATCTGATGTGAGGTCTGTCCTTAATTAAGCGGTGTTGGGCTTTCTGGGTTCAGAGCGTTTGGATGCTCGAACGATGGTAGATTGGGGAAGGGGGGGGGGGTTCAGCTTTCTTGATCTCCCTAGTGGCCGGTCTAACCCAACACCCTGGTTAAGCCCTTAAGCCGCCGGCATACAAAAGAGCCAGGGCTTAGGGCTTGGGGCTTGGGGCCTGGGGCTTATGGGGTTTAGGGTTTAGCACCCAACCTTTAGCGTCCGCTTTCTGCTGTATCCTGAGCTTCCCTAAACTCAGCCCTAACCGACGCCTGAAACACTCTAAGCTTTTACCTTGGTGGCACTCATGCAGAGTCCCCCCTGTAGAAGAGACCCGAATCGAGAACAACACTTGGAGTCTTGAGCCCTATGCGCCGGGCCTCAATGATGGTCCTTGCCACGTTGCAACCAGGGACCCTAAGCCCAAACCCCCAAACTCCCTGAACCCTACACCCTAAGACCGCAAGTCCCCTTGAGTGTCAGGTGAAGGACAACCCCTGTGCAGAGCACCGAGACCAAAACTCACTCGCAGCACAAAACGCTAAACCTGATGGACCCTATACACCCTAGAATTCCAGGGGCCCTAGCTCAACTCTTTTATCAGGGTCCATGTGGTCCCCAAGGCTAAACCCTAAACCCTAAACCCTAAACCCTAAACCCTAAACCCTAAACCCTAAACCCTAAACCCTAAACCCTGAACCCTTTATCAGGGTTCATGTGGTCCCCAAGGCTATAGAGCCCAAAACGCCCCCGGCCTTCCACTCGTCCGGAGCCTTTGGCACCGTATAGAGGCCTCGAGGCTGGTCGTGCTTCCCCCGGCATGTAGGGTTTAGGGTTTAGGGTTTAGGGTTTAGGGTTTAGGGTTTAGGGTTTGGGGTTTAGGGTTTAGGGTTTAGGGTTTAGGGTTTAGGGTTTAGGGTTTGGGGTTTGGGGTTTGGGGTTTGGGGTTTGGGGTTTGGGGTTTGGGGTTTGGGGTTTGGGGTTTAGGGTTTGGGGTTTAGGGTTTGGGGGTTGGGGTTTGGGGTCTGGGGTTTGGGGTTTGGGGTTTGGGGTTTGGGGGTTGGGGTTTAGCGGGTTTATCTGCCATTGGGCAATCCCGGGAAAAATCTGTGGGATGGGTGATGGGTGCTCCAGAAAATCTCCGCGAGAGTCTCGTCGGGCACTCGGGGAAACTTTGCGGGAGTCTTTGCGGGGATTTCGGGAAACTCTGTCAGATTCGAGGGGCAATTCTACAATCATAATTCTCTGGTGGGAGGAGCAGAAACCAAGTTCAAGATGACCGAACCTATTGTGGGGAACAACATATGCCATATCCGAAAAATCATTCTTCCATGGCTATGTAGTTGAACACTATGGCTATAGGGCGTTTGGGGATTTATTTGGCCCAAGGGCCCTGCAGTATCCTCTGCGCCCCAAAATTTGGTGCATCCAAACAGCGTGCCAAACACCCCTAAAGCAAAACCCTAGAACCTAAACATTCCTAAGCCCTAAACGCTGTAGACACAATTTTCAAGCGGGCTTTCTCGGTGTTCGGGCCGGGACACGGCGTACCACACACACACACACACACACACACACAGGGCTCGCTCCTTAAAACCTCAAACCTAAGTATTTGGGTTCAGGGTTTAGGGTTTAGGGAACCTGAAATCGGTAATTCCCAAAACAGGGGTCCTCAGAATCTACCCAAATGCCATAAGCCTTCTTCCAAAAGGGGCCCCGGAATTCGCAACTAACATGGCTTCACCATCACGGCAGCTGTATCCCTTGGATGGCCCTTAAAACCCCCTTGAAAAAATCCTAAATATCAGCCTCTTAAACCGAATGAGGGAAAAGAAGGTATCCGATGTGCCTACCTAGTATCTACTCGATCGATCCTTGGCAGTAGCCAAGGAAACTCTAAACCCTAAACCCTAAACCCTAAACCCTAAACCCTAAACCCTAAACCCTAAACCCTAAACCCTAAACCCTACGCCCCCTCTTTTGAAGGCCGGGTGTCCGGATCCGAACCAGGCAGTGCCAGGGTCGCTTTTCATTGTGGCCTTGGCTTGCTTCAGGTTCGCTAGGGTAGGTTTGGGGCCTATAAACATTATTTGTTTATGATCTTTTGTTCAGGATTACATAAGGACTATGTGACTATGTAAGGATTAGGGGTGGGGGGGGGGGGTGCTGAACATTAAAAGGTATTTTCAAGTCTGGGTATGGGGGTCTCAGGACAGGCGCCGTACTTGCAGACGTGGTACTTTGCCCATGCTTGATGACCCCAGGGGGCTGCCATTAAACCCTAAACCCTAAACCCTAAACCCTAAACCCTAAACCCTAAACCCTAAACCCTAAACCCTAAACCCTAAACCCTAAACCCTAAACCCTAAGCCCTAAATACATGCCCCGAAAGTCTTGGCTGCCAACAGCACCTCGATGAAGCCATGAACATCATCTCCAAGCCCTATCTCAAGTTACGGCCTTGAAGCCGTACTGAAGCCCTATCTCAAGTTACGGCCTTGAAGCCGTACTGAAGACAAAGGGAAGACTCCGGCATTCCCATTCTCTCAACCTTGAATCTGAAACTACATGGCCGACAAAGTAGCCGAATAGTAAAGAAGGTTGCGTGTTGAGTGGAGTTGATAAGGGAGCACTGCGAGTGCCTAAGCCCAAAGACAAGGAATAAGGGCACCACCTCAGCCAAACCCTTAAAACACTTCAATCAGAATTTTCGGCCAGCAAACCCTCAAAGTATACACCCTAAACCCTACAGTCAAAAAACTTCGCCGAGCAACCCAAACTTCAGCTGCTGGTTTCTCTTCAGACGTGACTTCTCGAAAAGTCAGCTCCTGGGTTTCTTCCAGCTGTTTAGGGTTTAGGGTTTAGGGTTTAGGGTTTAGGGTTTAGGGTTTCTGCTTCAGGCTTTCGGTGTAGTGTTTGGGGTTTAGGCTTAGGCTTTACCTAGGCCCCAAAGTATGTAAAACATTGCTCCTTGTATGGGTGGGTTTTGGGCAATTTGCGTAGACACTTGGGCGGCCAAGGTCGAGTGTGTTGGGGAGGTTTAGGGGGCGGCTTTGGGCCCTAAGGCATATGTAGAGCGCGAGGGGCAGGAGTATTCAAACAGTATTGTACTGCTGAAACGGGTTGAGGGCTTAGCGTTTAGGGCTTTAGGGTTTAGGGTTTAGGGCTGTGAGCCGACGTTGGGACAACGACACCGCCGAGAACTTCGCTACTCCGCAAGTGCCTTCTACAGCACCCGAAGGGTCCATGTACCTATATAGTCGGGTGTAGGGTGTGGGGTGTGGGGTGTAGGGTGTGGGGTTTAGGGTTTAGGGTTTAGGGTTTAGGGTTTAGGGCTTAGGGTTTAGGGTTTAGGGTTTAGGGTCCGTGTACCTAAGTGGTATATGCTTGGGCCTTGAAGGGGTTCCCATACAGTAGCTTTAGGGCCCAGGTGTATACCATATAGGCCTTCAGGGCAGGGTGCTCAAAATGTTAGGCCGCGGATGTGGTTCAGGGTCCCTTGCTGTCACAGGAGCCTCATGCTATATGGGTTGTTCTCTAAATTCGGGCTTAGGGTTTAGGGTAACACTAAACACTCAACCCTAAGTCCTAAACTCTTTTTCTGGGTCCTGCTAATAAGGTGCCGTACTATCATAGGAACCGAAGAAAGCTACAGGCTGCGTGCCGAGCATCGCTGGTGTAATGAAACACTACTCGACTGTCCTCCAGGCAAGCAGGGTCTTTGGGTTTAGGGTTGAGGGTTTTGTGTTTTTGGGCTTGCGGGGGGAGGCTGATCCTGAACCTCGGTACCTGAAGTCTGAACAGCAACCCAAGAAACACTTGAATACACGCAACTCCAACGACGTACAAACCCCCAGCTCCAGAGTCTACCCCTCGCCCCCCACTCCTCCCTCGATGAACGGGACTTCTGCTTTGAACATGTGAAGCACGTATTTTTGTTTGCCAAAGGAGTGATGCTTGGCTAAACTCTGGAGGCCCTGTGGGGCTGAACCCCTCGCCCGACTTAGATGACTTGCGTGGCATCCGAGGCTTGCCTATGACAACCGCAAGCAGAAAGAGAAAGTGACAGCAGAGAACCTGCCGGCCCTTTTTCTCGCCAGGCCGGATGATATCTCTTTGAAAGAAGCTACTTGGCCATCGAGAAGCAGACGTGAACCGCCATGGAAAAAAAAACCACACCTTCAAAATACACAATATGTTGCACAGCCACCCCCCCCCCCCCCCCCCCCCCCCCGGAAAGACAGTGAGCTTAGGGAGTATATAAAGCCTGGTTTACACCCTAAACCTGAGACCCAGAACCCTGTGAACCCTACAAACCCTTGTCCGGCTGGCCCATCGACAGGTCGAGGGCATCGGCCCAGACCTCAATGGTAAGGCGTTTCGGCAGGTTCGGTGTAGGACTTCAGGCTTTTTCTTAGCAGGGAATGAGGGAATGAGGGTCCCTGAATCCCTATATATATATATATATGTATATATATATATATGCCCTTTTAAGGGTTTATATAGGGTACCTGTTTCCCGCAGTCCCGACTAAGAACCCGGGGGAGTGCCTTTAGGTTCCAAACCCCATATATATTGAGCCCCTAAACCTTAAACCCCTAAGCACGAAAGCCTGGGGAACAAAACATGTAAAACGTGTGGCTCCCTGTCAGTGTGTGGCTGCACAGCTCTGGGAGAGCCTGGATCCGGAATCGTGTCGTCTGAAGCCTCGCCGCCTCAGACTTCAAGGCGAAAAGCGTGGGTAGATCCGAGAAAGGCCGGACCACCAGCCATGCCCATCCTAGCAAAGGATGCGCCAAAAGGGCGGCTGGCCAGGTTGGATGGCATCGCGAGCCATGCCAGCTTGCATTGCGTCTGGCCGTCTTGGCAAGTTCATCGCAAAGTTCGTTCCCAACATCACCGACATGACCTGGCACATGCTCATGATGAAGATCGACTCTGTTTTGAACACAATGACGCAGTGAAGGGACACGTTGTGCCAGCGATTGTACTTCTCCGGAAACAGTGGGAGGCAGGGAAGCCCTGCAGGTGTCCCTGCCGGCAGCGGTGCAGTCATACAACAGTTTGACTGGTAGCTTGTAGGCTGGGGCATATTCGAATGCCCATGCAAGAGGCCAACATAGAGCAAGCACTTCACTGGTCAAAGCGTATCATCACACTCGCCTAGGTAATAGGGGTTAGGGTTTATGGGTTTAGCTGCTTAGGGGTTCAGGGGGAAAGGGGTGGTTTGCTGAAGTACATTCTGACCTTAGATCATCGATGCAAGGCGTAGGGCGCCCCAAAGAAGTTATAGAACGTAGCTAGCGAGCTCGCCCCCACAATAGCCCTCCACGAACCGCTTGAAGAATGAAGCTGAGACGGTTCTTGTCCAAAGCCCTAAACCCTAAACCCCTAAAACCTAAACCAGAAACCCTAAACCCTAAACCCTAAAAGCGTCGCGGGTTCGGGACCCTGCCTGGGCTCTCGGTCAGCGAACAGCTCAAGCGTTTATACTCTGACCAAGACCTCGTCCTCGTCGTACACGGCCCAATTCCCGAAACACCCTACACCCTATAGGGTGTCGGGTTGAGGGAATAGGGTTTAAACCCGACACCCTAAAACCCTTCAAGGTTTTGGGTTTAGGGCTTCAGGGGTATAGGGTTAAAACCCTAAACCCTAAACCCTAAACCCTAAACCCTAAACCCTAAACCCTAAACCCGGCGATCTCCGGGCTCTTCTCTCGTACTCCAGGCGCCCGGACTCGGATGCCGGTGCGACGATGCTCCCAGCACCTGGGTCTGCTCAGGGACTTGGGGATTCAGGAGCACTGTAGGGTTTAGGGTTTAGGGTTTAGGGTTTAGGGTTTAGGGTTTAGGGTTTAGGTTCAGGGCACTGTAACGATAAGGGATGGAGGGATTTAGGTCATTTAAGGTCCAGGGGGTAGCACTTCAGGGCTTAGGAATTGTAGGGGCCGAACCCTCAAACCCTCAACTCCTAAACCTGTGGACCCGACGAGTCACCCTACATCCTAAGCCCACCGAAACCCTGAACCCTAAACCCTACAGGCCACAAGAAGGGCTGTTGAGGTTTGTAGATATGTTCAAGATTGCGAACCGAAACGGTGAGGGCACCTACTCACGACATGAGCGGGTGCACCCAGGATTCTTTGGCGCGGTCCTGGGATAAGGCAAATCCTAAACCCTAAACCCTAGAAGCCCTATTGCAACCCTAAATAAGCCCCATAAACCCGAAATACACCCCATAAACACCCTACAGACCCTGAACCCGAGAAGCCCTAAAAACGGCATCAACTATGTCAACCCTGGTATCACTACAAAACCCTTAAAGCTCTAGAGACCCTATAAACAGTATATATATATATCTATATATATATATATATAGATCGTATACGCCCTAAATCACATGGGTATTTCCCAGGATAGGGATATCCCTTTAATACCCCTAAATCGAATAGAACCCCCTTGAGCCGGTCAAGCGCCCTCTCCCCGTGTCGCCTCACCTGTGCTTTTGTTTCCCGGTGCTGGCAGGGGCAGGCCGACCACAGCCTCTGGCGGAGTCCCAGGAGCCAGAGCTTTATCCTCCGGCGTCTTCGGCTGACGCAGGTCCAAGCCAGGCCACGGAGGCACCAGGTCCCGCGCAGGCAAAGCTTGCACTTTGGCCCGGCACCGTGATACCCCGGCCAGCCATGTTGAGCAAGATCACACCAGCCACTAGATTTCGGCCTGTTTGATCTCTTGTTCTTGCGCATGGTGCTTTTTTCGTTTTGCCAGAAAGTTTACAAGTGGACATAACTGTGTTCAGGGATCTGATGTTCCTGGCTTGTTTCTGGGTCTAGGCTAGACTTCTCACCGATGGACTACGTGAGTCAGCCTTGATTCACGCGCCTTGCACGCTCCGGGTGTAGGGAGGAAACACAGCCCTTAGCCCTGAACCGTAAACTACAGAGTTTAGTCCCTGAATGCCGGGGCATTGGAGTCCGCGTGTCTTGGACCAACAAAAAGGGTACCCCTATTATCGGCAACATCGACATAGCTGTTATCACCCAGGCGCCAGCAGTCCGGCAGGAAGTCCTTAGCAGTGGCGAGGCATCATAGGGTTGGTTGAGAGTTTACGTCGGGTTTACGTCTGTGTAGTTTGGGGTTCCGGGTTTGCATTTGAACACCACTCTAAGCCCTAAACCCTAAACCCTAAACCCTAAACCCTAAACCCCTCGTATTGGTACATTGAGATTCGGCTTCTAGGGCTCCTTGATCTTGCTCAGGAGTAGCGCTCCCCTCCCCTCACTTCAATTCACCCCCTGCCCCTGAATGAAATATTTCCCCTATGGGTGGCTTTGGGGTGGTTGTGTTGGGTTTAGAGTATAGGTATAGGGTACAGGGTACAGGGTATAGGGTCTAGGGTATAGGGTCTAGGTAGGGGATAGGGTATAGGGCAAAGGATATAGGGTATATGGCTGGTTTCCGAAAGTAGTGGTACCCTTTTGGGGGGTCCCTTTAAGGGGATTCTATGCCGGGTATAAAAGGGGTACCCCGATTTTGGGAACATACTTATGGGTGTTTCCGAAAGTAGAGGTACCTTATTGGGGTCGGCCCTTGTAGTCCCTTAGAGGATCTTTAGAAAGGCCCCCAAACCCAAGGGTACAACCTTAGGGGTCCGAGACCACACGCACCCCTGTGAGATTGACGGCGCGCGTCGTAGTCCCCCCTCTCGAAGAAGTGGCCCTGACGGTACCTCTTCTCCTCGGGGCGATTGCGGGCTGCAATTGTGATATGAGGTTTAGGGTTTAGGGTTTAGAGGTTTAGAGTTTAGAGGTTTAGGGTTTAGGGGGTTTAGGGTTTAGGGTTTGGGCCATAGGCGCTAGGTCTTTGACTGTCGAGTCATCCTAGACCCTAAATCCATGCAGCAGAGTTGTCTGAGGAGCTGGCTAACAAATGTGAGCTTCAGGAGTGATAGTGAAGACCACACTGGTGTGTACACTAAGCCTTCAAGTCCTAAACCCTAATAGCCTGATCCACGAAGGAAGCTAGATGAATGTGAAGGGTCTTGCGGTCCTTTGTGGGAATGCTTTGGGATGCTTCCGGCACACCTAGGATTTGGGGTTCAGGTTTCAGTCTCTTAGAGCCATCAACTAAGGCACCTTGCCCAAGATCCTAAACCCCATATAGCCACATAGGCTATTCTATGTTGGATTCAGAGTGCACCCAGACGCAGAGCTTCCCTGTCCTTATACTAGGGCATCCGGGAAAAATAGACTTGAGCTGGCACATGCTCCTTCAGCATCACCGAAAGAATAGCCAAACCCCAAACCCCAAACCCTGCGGCCTGCGAACCTCCACAGACTCAGTACGGGCTGTTCAAGGGTTCCTAGGTTTCCTTTTGCAAATTGATCCTTCGTAGGGAATGAGGTAAACGAACATACATACATATAACAATATATATATATGTATATATATATATATATATGAATTACATATATACATATACATATAAGGGGGATACAGGGCACCTGCGCCCCTCCTTCCCTGCCTACAAAAAACCAGTGGGCTCATCCTGGTACTTCCCCTAAACCCTAAACCCATGCAGGGCTTGTATGGCCTCGGAATTGTTATGGGTTTTGTGGGGTACACTCTAAGCACACTCACTTCTAACAGTTTCTTAGCCCTAAGCCCTGATTCAGAGAACCCCATGAATAACCCTCTTAAGGAAAATGTAGGGAAGCCAACTCCGACCTCCATACCCCCCCAAACCCTAAACCCTACTAAGAACCCAGCAAGTTTGACCCCGAACACCCGGCTGCAGCTTGCGGAGGAGCTGCAAAGTAGTCGCGGAGAGTGTTCTCTTCCATTCTGCGGGACCTTCTGCAGGGGTTTAGGGTTTAGGGTTCAGGGGTTAGGGTTTAGGGTTTAGGGTTTAGGGTTTAGGGTCCAGGGTTTAGGGTCTAGGGTCTAGGGTTTAGGGTTTAGGGTTAGGATGCTTCTACGCAGGGATGGCCCTGAAATCATAAGCACACAGGGTGTTTTCGCTTAACCTCATTGCGGCCAAAGGCGGGGCGCGATTCTTTCTCATCAACACAGCATGCTCCCTTCCTTGGACCCTGCCAGTGTCGATGCAGAAATGGGAGTTACGCACCAGTAACTGTAATGTTATGACTCGGCCGTCTCATGACTCTCTCTAGCGCTTCAAAGTCACCTGAGCATCTTGAAGGATGTCCCCACACTGACCTACACCAAAGCAGCCTTTGGGCCTTTTCAAGCTCTTACGGAAGACCGTAAAAAAGCCGCAAACCTCACATCCCAAACCCAGCAAAGCAGGGAGGGTACGCAGACAAACATAGACGCGCACAGACAGCGCAGAGGTGCTCAGAGATGGGCATAAATGCGCATACTGCCTCAGGACCTCAGGACAACCAGAACATAAACTCCAAACCCAAAAGCCCCAATCCCTAAAACCCCTAGGTCCTTCAGCAAGGGAAGTCAAAGGAGGGTGGAGGAAACACAAAGATCTCTTGGTAGCCCGGCCGCCATATTGTAGCAAACCTGAGCAGTTAAAACCCGAAACCCTAAACCCTAAACTGTAGACTCTAAACCCTAAACCCTAAACCCTTGTGGCCTCTAGCTCAGCCGAAAGCTGGCCACACTGCATGGCTTCTGTGGCCCCATGAGGCCTGGATTGTCTGTGAAGGACACACTGAACGGCTTGTGGGCTTGCAATCTAGGGGGCCGGAAGAATTGGAATAGGGATTTTTTTTTGGGGGGGGAGGGTTGTTATTTGTTATGGTAGAACTATATATAGGTACCCCAAGGGATTCTTGTGAGTAATTATTGCGACCCCCTATAGTAGGCATTGATACATGGCTTTCAGGGGGGGGTTAGGGTTCGAGGGCTTGGGGCTTAGAGAAGTTTTAGGGCAAAGGCAGAAGCTCTTGGTGGAGATGAGTCTTGCAACAGGGCTTCCCATCACCATTCCTGCATGCTGCTTGAGCATGGCCCGCGCGTCTCGAATTGGTCAGTAGTCGATGAGCGTGGAGTAGACCCTGGAAAAAGTATATACTTTGTAGGTATGAGTAGCTATACATAGTAGGAACCCAGAACCAAAACATGTACTAAAGCATAGTACTACAAAACCCAGAATCAGACTTCGGGATGGACCTATGAAAACAACTCCTCACATTACTGTTGAACTGCTACTTCGAGTTTAGGGCCCTAGGGTATCAAGAAATGTAAGTCAATGTCTATGTAATGGTTTCAGGACTTCAGGATTTGAGGGTTCCAGGATTGCAGGACACCCCCCACACCCATGTGCCCCTCTAGCCTCGGCTGGAGCACTGTCGGAAACATTCCCCTACGCCCTGAACACCCTCAACTGCTCAAGGTGACTTGGACAGCATGTTTCCTCAGAGCCCCTCTGAGCAGAGCATAAGCAACTGCAAACAGTCGGGTTGCTGTGGGCATTCTTGGCTGAAGGCTGCGGCATCAACACTTGCTTCAACTTGCCTCTTCTCCGACTGACAATCCAGCCAAGTTGACCCTCAATCCCCAAGCCTATACCCTGAAAGGTTTAAACCTCTTTCGAAAGCCCGAAAAGACCTAAACCCTCCATGCCTTAACCCTAACCCCACGAGTGATGTCCCTAAACGCCCTAAACCCCTTTTTGGGATTATCGCAGCCGAATCCGAATGAAGCGCCTGAAAACCCTACACTTATCAAAACGATGTCCGAACCGACGGGTTTAGGGCTTAAGCCCCACAGACCAACTGCTATTTAGGACCTCACAGAGTTGTTCTTTCGGGTTTAGGGTTTAGGGTTAAAGGTTTAAGTGTTTAGGGATGCTGGAGCAAACAGGAGATAGAACATCCTCAGTCTTCCCTCCGACGCCCCACACTCCGACACCCCGAGTCCCAAGCGAAAAGCGCCGACTTCCCACTAAGAGCTAGTAATATTTAGGGGTATAAGGAGGGACCCCTAGAAGGGACCCTTCATCTTCTTCCCCTACCTAACCCCTATGCGTGCCATATACAATATGGTCTCTTTTTATCTATAAGCAGCCCCTAAGAAACCCCTAAGGTCCCTCCCTAACACCTCGAACCCTGCACATGTACCACAAGCCTGAGAACCAAATTCAGCAAAGCCAGCAAAGTGGAGAGCTGCGAAGGCCTACAGCTTAGTTGCTGAGTCCATAAGCCCCAAAAAGTGTACACTCTCAGTTCTATAGGCGGATTATAGTACCCGAAAAAGTGTAATTCAAGTGTACTCATTCAGCTACTAAGACAAAGAAGCCAAGCCAAGGTTGTAGGCCCCACGGACTAGCTCAGGACGTCGGGTTTAGGGTTGTAGGGTTTAAGGTTTGGGGCTTAGGGCCTACCACTTGTTTCGGGCAAAACGTTTGGGCTTTCAGGTTCAGAACCCTAAACCCTAAACCCTAAACCCTAAACCCTACACCCTAAACCCTATCCCCCACGCCAAAAAAACTTAACCTTAATCCCTCCCCCCCCCAAAAAAAGAGTTTGAGTCTCTAGAGAACTGTTGATTCGGCAGATGAGCCCAATATCATGACTTCGCCACAGGCCCACAGCAACCATGGCTGGACTCCAGCGACTTGGGACGTTTGGCTTATGGTTTATGTAAAAGGATTTAGGGTTCAGGGTTTTGTAGGGTTTAGGGTGTCGGGTTTAGGGTTTAGGGTTTAGGGTTTAGGGTTTAGGGTTTAGGGTTTAGGGTTTTGTAGGGTTTAGGGTGTAGGGGTTAGGGCGTGTCTTTGAGGACAAAAAATAAGGTGGCCGCTGGTGATTTTATCGGTTCCCTGGAGTACATCATCCCATGCTGACGAAATTCGCGCTGCATTGATGGGATCCAGCCATCTTAACGCGAAACATCACGCCAACAGGCTTCCGTGCATTCCTGGCCTTATTGTTAAGGTTTTGGGCTTCGGGCTTAGGGTGAACGATGTTGATGCAGCATGTATGACGCGAAACGAAACCTATAACCCTCACAGCAGGGTGATGCTCGCCAACGAAACTTGTAACCCTCACAGGAGACTGATGCTACATGCAATCAAGTCTTGCCTCGAGGGTTCGTGGTTCGGGGTTTAGTATACAGGCCCCGTGCACCGTGATATAGCGGCATGTTTTTGTTGTTTGTTTTGTTTTTTTTTTTTGGGGGGGGGTATTATAATGAAAGTATCTCGAACCCCACGCCCCACTTTGAGTTGTCGTAGAACCTTATCTGAGCTACAAGCACAGGGTTCAGGTTCTAGGGTTTAGGCTTAAGCTTTGTAGACTATGTCTATCAGTCAGGAACTTGCGTATGCTTCTCCGGTTCTTACCTGCATCGTCTCTGTTCTCAAGTCACACCCATTGAAGCCCCGAGCCCTGGACCCTTCGCCCTTCGTTTTAACTGTAGGTACCTTAAACCCTAACCCTAAACCCTAAACCCTAAATCCTAAACCCTAAACCCGAAACCCTTTGAAAGCTCACAGCTTCGGTACGAAGATTTCGGAGCTTGTGGCTTTAAAGGCCTTCTGGTTTCATAGCTTTGCGCTCAGGGACCCAGGGTTGACATCCCGAACTCGCAATCTAGCATGAGCCCCGGAGAAGCTGAATGTAGAAACATCTCAGGTCTCCTGAAGTTGTTGAAAAATGTCGCGGGCGGTAGTTGAGCAGATGCCCTGTGAAGGTTCAAGGCCCCCGGTTCGCTGACACTTCTAAGCCTCGGCCTGCGTCTCACTGCTGCAAGAGCCTAAGCCATCCAATTTGGATGCCCTAAACCCTAAACTCTACGATCATCTCTAATCCGCAGCGTGCTGTTGATAGCTGCTATTCTTCACCTCCTTGTCTGCAAGAAAAGTTTAGGGTTTAGGGGTTTAGGGTTTGGGGTTTCGTGTTTAGGGTTTAGGGGTTTTAGGGTTTAGGGTTTAGGGGTTTCGGGGCTTAGGGTTTAGGGGTTTAGGGGCTAAGGGGCTTAGGGTTTGTGTGGCCATGCGCAGAAACGAATTTGCACCGAATTGCGCACTCAGTGAAATGCCTGAAGGGACTTGGAGGATGGGCTTTTTGCTAGGCCTGATCCCCATGATCAAGCCTTCTAAAGGGCCTTTTTAAGGGGCTTAGGGTTTAGGGCCTAGGGTTTAGGGCTAGGGTTTAAGGTTTAGGGTTTAGGGTTTAGGGTTTAGGGTTTAGGGTTTAGGGTTTAGGGTTTAGGGTTTAGGGTTTAGGGGTAATGGAGGTCATCTAGTTTTGGGCAAGCTGGATGTGGGGCTGGTTCCAAATGATCGGTCGCGTCCCTTAGCTATATCTTCGAGGTTGCTGGCGGCCTCATGAGGCTCATATTAGTTTTGGGGGATTAGGGCTCAGGATTGTTGGGGCTTAGTAGGGGCTCAAGGTGACACTTTTTTCATGAAAACGTGAGGCTCATATGATTTTTGGGGGATTAGGGCTCAGGATCTTGGGGTTAACAGGGGCTTAAGGGGCAGGCTTGGCTAGTGAACGTATGGATTTTTGAAGGAGGTTCGACTTGGTAGCCCAGCAACCATACTGTAATAAGGGCACCCTTTTTGGGGTTGGTTATTTTATAAGGGAACCCATAACCAAAAAAAGGGGTAAAGGGTACCACTGGGCTACCAAGTCGAATACCGAGCACCTGAGGCAGGTCAGTGTGTTGGGTTTGGAAGCTGGGTGGCTCCCGTCTTGCGCACGGTCTTGGTGAAAGGTGTGCGTTCTAACACCTAAACCCTAAACCCTAACCCCTAAATCCTAAACCCTAAACCCTCACCCTAAACCCTAAACCCTGAATGTTCACCGAACTACAGGGTGGCACGGTATCGGATCCCATGATCGGAAGCCCACAATCTGGA